TGTACCTGCTGCCCCTGCTGTACCTGCTGCCCCTGCTGTACCTGTCCCTGCTGTACCTGCTACCCTGCTGTACCTGCTACCCCTGCTGTACCTGCTGCCCCTTGCTGTACCTGCTACCCCTGCTGTACCTGCTACCCCTGCTGTACCTGCTACCCCTGCTGTACCTGCTGCCCCTGCTGTACCTGCTACCCCTGCTGTACCTGCTACCCCTGCTGTACCTGCTACCCTGCTGTACCTGCTACCCTGCGTACGCTACCCTGCTGTACCTGCTACCCCTGCTGTACCTGCTACCCCTGCTGCCCCTGCTGTACCTGCTACCCCTGCTGTACCTGCTACCCCTGCTGTACCTGCTACCCCTGCTGTACCTGCTGCCCCTGCTGTACCTGCTACCCCTGCTGTACCTGCTACCCCTGCTGTACCTGCTACCCCTGCTGTACCTGTACCTGCCCCCTGACGCTACCCCTGCTGTACCTGCTACCCTGCTGTACCTGCTACCCCTGCTGTACCTGCTACCCTGCTGTACCTGCTACCCCTGCTGTACCTGCTACCCTGCTCTGCTACCTGCTCCCGCCTGCTGTACCTGCTACCCCTGCTGTACTGCTATGCTTACCCCTGCTGTACCTGCTACCCGCTGCTGTACCTGCTACCCCTGCTGTACCTGCTACCCCTGCTGTACCTGCTACCCCTGCTGTACCTGACTACCCCTGCTGTACCTACCCTGCTGTACCTGCTACCCCTGCTGATGTACCTGCTACACCCCTGCTGTACCTGCTACCCTTCTGTACTGCTACCCTGCTGTACCTGTCCCCTGCTGTACCTGCTACCCTGCTGTACTGCTCCCTGCTGTACCTGCTGCCCCTGCTGTACCTGCTGCCCCTGCTGTACCTGCTGCCCCTGCTGTACCTGCTGTACCTGCTGCCCCTGCTGTACCTGCTGCCCCTGCTGTACCTGCTGTACCTGCTGCCCCTGCTGTACCTGCTGCCCCTGCTGTACCTGCTGTACCTGCTGCCCCTGCTGTACCTGCTGCCCCTGCTGTACCTGCTGCCCCTGCTGTACCCTGCTGTACCTGCTGTACCTGCTGCCCCTGCTGTACCTGCTGCCCCTCGTACTGTACCCTGCTGACCCCCTGCTGTACCTGCTGCCCCTGCTGTACCCTGCCTGCTGTACCTGCTACCCTGTCTGTACCTGCTACCCCTGCTGTACCTGCTACCGTACCTGCTGCTCCCTGACTGTACCTGCTGCCCCTGCTGTACCTGCTACCCCTGCTGCCCCTGCTGTACCTGCTGCCCCTGCTGTACCTGCTGCCCCTGCTGTACCTGCTGCCCCTGCTGTACCTGCTACCCTGTACCCCTGCTGTATCTCTGCTGTACCTGCTGCCCCTGCTGTACTGCTGCCTGCTACCTGCTACCCCTGCTGCACCTGCTACGCCCCTGCTGTACTGTCCCTGCTGACCTCTCCCCTGCTGTACCTGACCCCTGCTGTACCTGCTGCCCCTGCTGTACCTGCTGCCCCTGCTGTACTGCACCTGCTGTACCTCACTGCTGCCCCTCTGCTGTACCTGCTGCCCCTGTCCTGTACCCTGCTGTACCTGCTACCTGCTGTACCTGCTCCCCTGCTGTACCTGCTGCCCCTGCTGTACCTATGTCCCTGCTCCCTGCTGTACCTGCTACCCCTGCTGTACCTGCTGCTCCTGCTGTACTGCTGCCCCTGCTGTACCTGCCTACCCTTCTAGCTGCTACCTGCTGTAACCTGCTGCCTCTGCTGTACCTGCTACCCCTGCTGACCTGCTGCCCTTGCTGTACCTGCTGCCCCTGCTGTACTTCTGCCCTTGCCCCTGCTGTACTCTGCCCTGCTACCCTGCTGTACCGTGTCCTGCTTGCCCCCTGCTGTACCTGCTGCCCCTGCTGTACCTGCTGACCCCTGCTGTACTGCTCCTGCTGTACTGCCCCTGCTGTACCTGCTGCCCCTGCTGTACCTGCTGCCCCTGCTGTACCTGCTGCCCCTGCTGTACCTGCTACCCTCGCTGTACTGCTAGCCCCTGCTGTACCTGCTACCCCCTGCTGCTACCTTCTACCCCTGCTGTACCTGCTGACCCCTGCTGTACCTGCTACCCCTGCTGTACCTGCTACCCCTGCTGTACCTGCTACCCTGCTGTAACTGCTACCCCTGCTGTACCTGCTACAGCCCCTGCTGTACCTTCTACCCCTGCTGTACCTGCTACCGCTGCTGTACCTGCTACCCTGCTGTACCTGCTACCCCTGCTGTACCTGCTAACCGTGCTGTACCTGCTACCCTGCTGTACCTGCTACCCCTGTCTGTACCTTCTACCCCTGCTGTACCTGCTACCGCTGTCGTACCTGTTAACCTTGCTACCGTACCTGCTACCCTGCTGTACCTGCTGCCCTGCTGTACCTGCTAACCTGCTGTACCTGCTACCCTGCTGTACCTGCTACGCGTACCTTACCCTGCTGTACCTGCTACCCCTGCTGTACCTGCTACCCCTGCTGTACCTGCTACCCCTGCTGTACCTGCTACCCCTGCTGTACCTGCTACCCCTGCTGTACCTGCTACCCCTGCTGTACCTGCTACCCCTGGTACTGTACCTGCTGCCCCTGCTGTACCTGCTACCCCTGCTGTACTCTCCCTGCTGTCTGCTCCCCTGCTGTACCTGCTACCCCTGCTGTACCTGCTACCCCTGCTGCTGTACCTGCTGTACCTGTACCCTGCTGTACCTGCTACCCCTGCTGTACCTGCTGCCCCTGCTGTACCTGCTAACCCTCTGACGCTCCCCGCTGTACCTGCTACCCCTGGTACTGCTACCTGCTGTACCGCTCCCTGCTGTACCTGCTACCCCTGCTGTACCTGCTACCCTGCGACCTGCCCCCTGCTGTACCTGCTACCCCTGCTGTACCTGCTACCCTTGCTGTACCTGCTACCCCTGTGTACCTGCTACCCTGCTGTACCTGCTCCCCTGCTGTACCTGCTCCATCCTGCTGTACCTGCTACCCCTGCTGTACCTGCTACCCCTGCTGTACTTCCCTCTACCCCTGCTGTACCTGCTACCCCTGCTGTACCTCCTACCCCTGCTGCCCTGCTGTACCTGCTACCCCTGCTGTACTGCTACCCCTGCTGTACCTGCTACCCTGCTGTACCTGCTACCCCTGCTGTACCTGCTACCCCTGCTGTACCTGCTACCCCTGCTGTACCTGCTTACCCCTGCTGTACCTGCTACCCCTGCTGTTCCTGTTCCCCCTGCTGTACCTGCTACCCCTGCTGTACCTGCTGCCCCTGCTGTACCTGCTGTACCTTCTGCCCCTGCTACTCCTGCTGTACCTTCTGCCATTGCTACCCCTGCTGTACCTTCTACCCCTGCTGTACCTGCTGCCCCTGCTGTACCTGCTGCCCCTGCTACCCCTGCTGTACCTTGTCCCTGCTACCCCTGCTGTACCTTCTGCCCCTGCTGTACCTTCTGCCCCTGCTGTACCTTCTGCCCCTGCTGTAACCTTCTGCCCCTGCTGTACCTGCTGCCCCTGCTACCCCTGCTGTACCTTCTGCCCCTGCTACCCCTACTGTACCTGCTGCCCCTGCTGTACCTTCTGTCCCTGCTGTACCTTATTCCCCTGCTGTACCTTCTGCCCCTGCTACCCCTGCTGTACCTTCTGCCCCTGCTACCCTTGCTGTTCCTTCTGTCTCTGCTATGCCTGCTGATCCTGCTATACCTGCTGATCCTGCTATACCTGCTGCCCCAGGTTTAGCTACCCAGGATAACCCAGGGTAGGGAGTGTTAGCCAGCCAGGATAACCCAGGGTAGGGAGTGTTAGCCAGCCATGATAACCCAGGGTAGGGAGTGTTAGCCAGCCAGGATAACCCAGGGTAGGGAGTGTGGTTAGCCAGCCAGGATAAACCCAGGTAGGGAGTGTTAGGCAGCAGGATAACCCAGGGTAGGGAGTGTTAGCCAGCCATGATAACCCAGGGTAGGGAGTGTTAACCAGCCAGGATAACCCAGGGTAGGTAGTGTTAGCCAGCCAGGATATCCCAGGGTAGGGAGTGTTAGCCAGCCAGGATAACCCAGGGTAGGTAGTGTTAGCCAGCCATGATAACCCAGGGTAGGGAGTGTTAGCCATCCAGGATATCCCAGGGTAGGGAGTGTTAGCCATCCAGGATATCCCAGGGTAGGGAGTGTTAGCCAGCCAGGATAACCCAGGGTAGGTAGTGTTAGCCAGCCAGGATATCCCAGGGTAGGGAGTGTTAGCCAGCCAGGATAACCCAGGGTAGGTAGTGTTAGCCAGCCATGATAACCCAGGGTAGGGAGTGTTAGCCATCCAGGATATCCCAGGGTAGGGAGTGTTAGCCATCCAGGATATCCCAGGGTAGGGAGTGTTAGCCAGCCAGGATAACCCAGGGTAGGTAGTGTTAGCCAGCCAGGATAACCCAGGGTAGGAAGTGTTAGCCAGCCAGGATAACCCAGGGTAGGTAGTGTTAGCCAGCCAGGATAACCCAGGGTAGGAAGTGTTAGCCAGTCAGGATAACCCAGGGTAAGGAATGTTAGCCAGCCATGATAACCCAGGGTAGGGAGTGTTAGCCAGCCAGGATAACCCAGGGTAGGGAGTGTTAGCCAGCCAGGATAACCTAGGATAGGAAGAGTTAGCCAGCTGGGATATAACCCAAGAAAGGCAGTACATCATTAAGGACTGTCTCTCTTATTTCCATTGTGGTCTTTCAATCTTGTCCTCCAGGATGCCACCCACACCAGTTCACTAACACCCAGGTACCTACTTACTGCTAGGTGAACACTGACAGCAGGTGTAAGGAAACATTTCCACCCATAGTACAGAATATCAGAAACTTGATATACGATATACTGACTTTCTTGGGTTATCCTGTGTGGCTAACCCTCCGGGTTAAAAATCCTACATTTTTTTTTTTAACCTATCTCTCATCACTTTGAGTAATGTATTTTATTACGGCAATTCGAGGACTTAGTGTATTCGTGTTCTCAGGTAGAGACGATGTGAGTAACGAGCGCCATGGACGATGCTATACTCCAGCGGGTGTGTAGCCTTGCCACTGCTCTACGCCAGTCAGCGCACCTCCTTCTCGACCAGCAGTACAAGCTCTCATTAGGTGAGGAATTTAATTTTTTTATTTTCTCCCTCAAAGTCACAGAAAATAAACCATGTAATGATTGGGGGTTAGAACCCATAAAAATTTAGTGGTAAAACTGCAGGCCAGCTAGCTATAATAAGATTCATTCAACTAGGTATAATAAGTCCTCGACTTACGAACACGTTGGGGACATCATGAATTGCGTACGGGTCAGCCATCACTAAATAACAAAAAAAGGCACAACATTTAGTGTACAGCTATCACTAATCCGGCATCATTGGGACCTGTAATGAGCCAGATTAGTGAGTTTGCCGGATTACAGAGTGGTTAGGTTAGAATACACTGAATCAACCTATCAACAGACCCTGCTATATCTTCCTCATTTTCATCACTGTTTTCTCCTCCACTGACTTGCTGCTGTGGATTAACAATCATCTGCACAACTTCCGAGTCAGTATAATGATGAAATTTGAAATTATGGTGGCCGAAATTAGTGCCAGGATTACTGATGGAACTGGATAACTGACTGCCGGATTAGTGATGGCTGACCTGCATAATAATGATATACACAATAATGATATAATAATGATACACTACACAGTAATGATGTAATAATGATATATATGATACTGTACAGAAGATTATCAACATGTGTGTAAGTCGAGAACTTACTGTAGTCCTTAAGCATTAGGATTAATCTACCTAAAAATCCACGACTTTCTGGTGGATTTCTTTTGTGCTTAACAATATTTTTTTTGCATGTAAACTATAGAAAAGATATAAACTATTTTCATTACTGTTGTTATTATTATTTTTTGCACTTACACTGCCTTCTATCCCACAACGTCATTTTAGCCCCTTAATGGAGGCATTGTGACGCCAATGCAGTGCTCTTGATTCTAGGAATTGGACCTATCCTCCCTTTTCTTGACTCAGACTTGAGTGCCTCCAATTCTTCCAGGCATTGTGTAGCCCATGTGGGTTTACTGCAGTTTTGAAAAATTATGCTGACACTAAAAAAAATAGTTTTTGTTTCTTGTTATTGCGTTGGCCATTTCTTACCAAGATTGAGTGACCCGGTAAAGGAAATGTATTCACCATCATTCATTCAGTAGCTGTCTTGTCAGAAGTGTACAAGCATCACAGTCTATACACCTACCATCCGACTTACGACCTGCTCGACTTACGACCGTGTTTTTTTTGCCAAATTTCTGGGAAATAAACAACTATTTGTGTTGTACAGAGTGTTTATCCTAAACCTTACAGTATAAAATACAGAACTAACAACATAAAAAGTAAAGTAAAACATGAAATACCAAAATAAAACAATAAAATAGTCATTACAAAAATGTTTTGTTGATATTCAGTAGTAAAGTTTGACTTCCGACCGGTTTCTCGGAACCGAACTCGGTCGTAAGTCGGATGGTAGGTGTATTACTCTTCGAAGTTTAACATTCTCACCCCTCTTTCACTGTCACTTTTTCTTGACTATTTTTTGGAGTTATCTTAGGTAATTTATACATATGTTACTATGTATATTAATTTGTGTAACTGTTTATGTGTACCTGTACCTAAATACACTTACACTGGTTAGCCGGACTCTAGTCCGGCTAACCAGTTTCCTGATCATTGTTATTATTATTATTGTGTTATGACGTGCTTAGATACAGCCTAATAAGTGGGTTCATAAATTTTTGTGCCTAAAATTCTGAGTATACTTTGACGCAGAATGTGCGGGTTCGACTCCTGCTGTGAACTGAGAAACAATATTTGTGAATAATTTCGCCTATTTCCGAATTGTTCAACATGCCTTATTTCAGTGTGATTTTTTTTCGTATAAACAATAATTTTCTCCAAACAGACACGTGGTCGCTTGGGGAAATACAAGAGGCTTTCAGTTTGATCCTCGAGATAGAGCAACACACCAACTTCCATGTCTTGCCTCCCAACCACCGCCAGCACCAGGCCATTCCTCACCTTCAGTTTATTTATGACCTCCTTCAAAAGATCTGTGGGCTAAGACTTTGGGCAAAGGATGGTGAGGAATTTACTTTTGTTGTATATTTTTCTGTAAGCCATGTGTGTCATAAGAAGTAACTGAAGTGCCAGGAGCGAGGGGCTAGTAACCTCTTCTCCTGTAATAATTACTAAATACTGGGAGCAAGGGGCTAGTAACCTCTTCTCCTGTAATAATTACTAAATACTGGGAGCAAGGGGCTAGTAATCTCTTCTCCTGTAATAATTACTAAATACTGGGAGCAAGGGGCTAGTAACCTCTTCTCCTGTAATAATTACTAAATACTGGGAGCAAGGGGCTAGTAACCTCTTCTCCTGTAATAATTACTAAATACTGGGAGCAAGGGGCTAGTAATCTCTTCTCCTGTATAAATTGCTAAATACTGGGAGCAAGGGGCTAGTAATCTCTTCTCCTGTATAAATTGCTAAATACTGGGAGCAAGGGGCTAGTAATCTCTTCTCCTGTATAAATTGCTAAATACTGGGAGCAAGGGGCTAGTAATCTCTTCTCCTGTATAAATTGCTAAATACTGGGAGCAAGGGGCTAGTAATCTCTTCTCCTGTATAAATTGCTAAATACTGGGAGCAAGGGGCTAGTAATCTCTTCTCCTGTATAAATTGCTAAATACTGGGAGCAAGGGGCTAGTAATCTCTTCTCCTGTATAAATTGCTAAATACTGGGAGCAAGGGGCTAGTAATCTCTTCTCCTGTATAAATTGCTAAATACTGGGAGCAAGGGGCTAGTAATCTCTTGTCCTGTATAAATTGCTAAATACTGGGAGCAAGGGGCTAGTAACTTCTTCTCCTGTAATAATTACTAAATACTGGGAGCAAGGGGCTAGTAACCTCTTCTCCTGTATAAATTGCTAAATACTGGGAGCAAGGGGCTAGTAATCTCTTCTGTATAAATTGCTAAATGCCAAGAGCAAGGGGCTAGTAACCTCTCCTGTATAAATTACTAAATACTGGGAGCAAGGGGATAGTAACGTCTTCTCCTGTATAAATTACTAAATGTAAAAATAAGAAAAACTCTGGAAGTGTTTCTTCTTGTTTCGGATCTCCGGCCTCAGTGGGAAACAACTGATATGCCTGAATTATTAACATTCCGGAATTAATCTGTGTTTGATAGAGCAAAGGGACCATGAACAATGTTGCAAATGCACAAAGTAGTGGTTGTAGAAGTAGTGTTGCATGATCCCTTTGGGTTTAACATTTAGTTCTGGTTATAATAATAATAATTGGTTATTGGAGAAGCAAAGATTCAGTATTTGCCAGATTGCAACATTTGTAATTAATAATCTTGTTATGATATAGTCCATAAATGGACTTTTTAATATTTCACATATTTTTAAAAAGTCATATCTAAGAGATTAGGTATTTTGACTCTTAAAATAATGGATTTTTAGTTCGTACTGTTCTCTCGATTTTATACTATGTGCGTAAATAACAGTGCAATATATTATTGTTTCAGGGTACAGTCTTCCACTGAGTGAAACCATAAGTCTGCGTTGCTTCCGAAACTTGCAAGCACTGGAACTGTTGCATGTACCTGTGACCAGTCTGAAAGCTCTGCAAACCTTGCGGCCTACGCTGAGGTCAATTGTAATAGTCAAAGGACTGGCGCGCCTCAGTGATCTTTTCGTACGTTGTGGTGCAGATAAGGTCAGTTAATGCTGAGTTTATTTTTTATATTTAACTCGCTGGCCTGTGAGTGTAGGTCAGGTTAGGTCAGGTCAGGTTTGTCAGGTAACAGGACGAGTGTTCCCTGATGTGGGTCTTAGTCATATGATGACCCACAGCTGGAGCTTTTGGTCATCTGACCGAGGCCTTCCACTGGCTTACCACTCCACCCCTTTAAAAAATTATGGTTACAATTACAACCATTATATAATGATAATCTGTGAGTTTTAGGACTTGCTTGACAACTGGGATCAAACCAGTCATTCCACAATTTTTTTTCATTGCTGATGTTTACTTCGGCTTATCTGAAGATTCTCTTCTCCTCTTCCGTACCTTTACCCTCTCTCCTACCCTTTTCCTCATTCTTAGCTTAATGTAGGAAGATTTGAATATGTGCGTCTGTCATGTCAGTAAATCTCATGAGGTGCTACCATATTTAGCCCTCACTAGGTGCTACCATATTTAGTCCTCACTAGGTGCTACCATATTTAGCCCTCACTAGGTGCTACCATATTTAGCCCTCACTAGGTGCTACCATATTTAGCCCTCACTAGGTGCTACCATATTTAGTCCTCACTAGGTGCTACCATATTTAGTCCTCACTAGGTGCTACCATATTTAGTCCTCACTAGGTGCTACCATATTAGTCCTCACTAGGTGCTACCATATTTAGTCCTCACTAGTTGCTACCATATTTAGTCCTCACTAGGTGCTACCATATTTAGTCCTCACTAGTTGCTACCATATTTAGTCCTCACTAGGTGCTACCATATTTAGTCCTCACTAGGTGCTACCATATTTAGTCCTCACTAGTTGCTACCATATTTAGTCCTCACTAGGTGCTACCATATTTAGCCCTCACTAGGTGCTACCATATTTAGCCCTCACTAGGTGCTACCATATTTAATCCTCACTAGGTGCTACCATATTTAATCCTCACTAGGTGCTACCATATTTAGTCCTCACTAGGTGCTACCATATTTAGTCCTCACTAGGTGCTACCATATTTAGTCCTCACTAGGTGCTACCATATTTAGTCCTCACTAGGTGCTACCATATTTAGTCCTCACTAGGTGCTAACCATATTTAGTCCTCACTAGTTGCTACCATATTTAGTCCTCACTAGGTGCTACCAAGTTAGTCCTCACTAGGTGCTACCATATTTAGTCCTCACTAGGTGCTACCATATTTAGTCCTCACTAGGTGCTACCATATTTAGTCCTCACTAGGTGCTACCATATTTAGTCCTCACTAGGTGCTACCATATTTAGTCCTCACTAGGTGCTACCATATTTAGTCCTCACTAGGTGCTACCATATTCAGTCCTCACTAGGTGCTACCATATTTAGTCCTCACTAGGTGCTACCATATTCAGTCCTCACTAGGTGCTACCATGTTGAAAACAATGTATAGTACCTTTATATATGTACTCGCCTATTTATGCTCGACTATTTGTGGTTGCAGGGGTTGAGACATAGCTCCTGGCCCCACCTCTTCACTAATCATTACTAGGTCCTCTCTCCCCTTCCTCCATGAGCTTTATCATACCTTGTCTTAAAACTATGCATGGTTCCTGCTTCCACTACATCACTTGCCAGACTGTTCTACTTCCCGACAACTCTGTGACTAAATGTGTGTGTGTATGTGCATGTACTCACCTAGTTGTGGTTGCAGGGGTCGAGTCATAGCTCCTGGCCCTGCCTCTTCACTGGCTGCTACTGGATCACTCTCCCTGTACTATGAGCTCTATCATACCTCTGCTTAAAGCTATGAATGGATCCTGCCTCCACTACATCACTGTGTGTGTGTGTGTGTGCGCGTGTGCATGCATGCGTGTGTGTACACATGTGCTCCTTAACCCTTAAACTGTCCAAACGTAGATCTACGTTTTTTCAGCATTTGAAAGTATGCAAAAAAAGTAAATCTTCTTTTCTTTTTTTTACATTTGAAAACGTGTAAAAAAAACTTTGATCTACTTTTTTTTTTTATTCTATCTTTCTTTCAACACACCGGCCGTATCCCACCGAGGCGGGGTGGCCCAAAAGAAAAAAAACAAAGTTTCTCCTTTAAAATTTAGTAATACAGTGGACCCCCGCATAACGATTACCTCCGAATGTGACCAATTATGTAAGTGTATTTATGTAAGTGCGTTTGTATGTGTATGTTTGGGGGTCTGAAATGGACTAATCTGCTTCACAATATTTCTTATGGGAACAAATTCGGTCAGTACTGGCACCTGAACATACTACTGGAGTGAAAAAATATCGTTAACCGGGGGTCCACTGTATATACAGGAGAAGGGGTTACTAGCCCCTTGCTCCCGGCATTTTAGTCGCCTCTTATTATTATTATTATTATTATTTTATGTATTTGAAAATAAGTAAAAAACGTAGATCTACTTTTGGAGCACTACGCATGTGAACGTAAATTTGTTTGGACAGTTTAAGGGTTAACTTCATGGGGTTATGTTCTGTTGAACTCATCATAAGTCAAAAATATCATAACTTAAATATATGATAAATAAGTAAATAAATACAGTCTCTCCTCACTTAGCAACGTACTCGTTTACTGACAACTCGGACTTATGACGGGTTCTCTGACCAGTAAGCATACCCAGATATTAGAGCTGATTTCCTCTCTGCTTAATACAGTGTACATTACACTATTGTTTAAACATTTCAAAATATACCAGAAATGTTATAAATGATGCAAAAGTGAAATTAAAACAATATCAGAGATGGTTGACACAAACCCACTACCATTATAGTACGCTTCTTGCTTAGTGACGAATTCATTTACCGACGTGGTCTTAAGAACGGAACTCCGTCATTATAATAATAATAATAATAATATCTTTATTTACTACAAGTACATGTACAAGGTATACAGTCCTAGCTGACAACAATGACATACTACTATATAGAAAGTCCCTTGTTATGCTCTGCATTTCGGGCAAATTAGGTCAGTGTCCCGGGATGCGACCCACACCAGTCGACTAACACCCAGGTACCCATTTTACTGATGGGGAACATAGACAACAGGTGGAAAGAAACACGTCCAATGTTTCTACTCTGGCTGGGAATCGAACCCAGGCCCTCGCCGTGTGAAGCGAGAGCGTTAGCCACCAGGCCACCAGAGCCACCAGGCCACCAGGGCCACCAGGAGAGACTGTAACTACTGTCACTGAATAAGTAAACAAACAATTACTGTAACTAACTAAATATGTACCAGTATTGTAAAGTAAATAAATGAATACAAGTTAGGGGCTTGCTTCCTTCATGCTGGGTAATTATTATAAGTCACTCTGACTTTTTTGGGTTATCCCAGGTTCTCTACACATACGCTGCTATGTATGATAATTCTATGTATCTGTATTTGTGTATACCTGAATAAACTTACTTACTTACTTATCTCCAAAGTAATTGATGCTGCAATATGTTAAAATATGTATTAGCCAGGCTCAATATTGATCTCTGTATTTATGATGTTGTTATAAGGAAAAAAATGTATGATTAAAATTTACCACTCTATACGTCTGTCCAAACATAGAACAACATTCACATGTGGGGGACTCCGAACATAGATTTACATTCACGTGTGGGGGGGCTCCGAATGTAGATCTACGTTCATGTGTGGGGGGCTCCGAACGTAGATGTACGTTTCATGTGTGGGGGGGCTCCGAACGTAGATCTACGTTCACGTGTGGGGGGGCTCTAAATGTAGATCTATGTTCAAGTGTGGGGGGCTCCAAATGTATATGTTCATGTGTGGGGGGCTCCAATGTAGATCTATGTTCATGTGTGGGGGCTCCAATGTAGATCTATTTCATGTGTGGGGACTCCAAATGTAGATCTATGTTCATGTGTGGGGGGCTCCAAATGTAGATCTATGTTCATGTGTGGGGGGCTCCAAATGTAGATCTATGTTCATGTGTGGGGGGGCTCCGAACGTAGATCTACTTTTTTTTTACATGCTTTAAAATGTTGAAAATAAAGGTAGGAGCGTTACGCCTGTGAACGTAGATCTGTGTTTGGATAGTTTAGGGTTAGGTAGTGTGTAAACATTAGGTTTAGTGTGCTTGAAATGCCCTAGTATGATAGTGGATTTCTCTGTACTTAACAAATCAAAATAGTAATTACACAGTTTAACCTTTGCAAAGAAATAAAATCTTTAATTTTTATGTATTAGGCTGGAGAGTTTGTGTGGGAGCAGCTTCAAGAGGCAGTGTTGAGTCGCAACTCCCTGCACACCCTAGACCACAGTCTCAGTCTTCTTCCCAGTCTTAAGGTAACCTCCTGACACTTATTTTTTTTTTTAATTAAATATTGAAACATTTGAATACCACAAAAATTTTTAATGAGTTTTTTTTTTTTCAACAAGTCGGCTATCTCCCACTGAGGCAGGGTGACCCAAAAAGAAAGAAAAAATCCCCAAAAAGAAAATACTTTCATCATCATTCAACACTTTCACCTAACTCATACATAATCACTGTTTTTGCAGAGGTGCCCAGATACAACAGTTTAAGAAGCATATATAAAGATATATAACATATCCCTCCAAATTGCCAATATCCTAAACCCCTTCTTTAAAATGCAGGCATTGTATTTCCTATTTTCAGGACTCGGTCTGGCTAACCAGTTTCCCTGAATCCCTTCACAAAATATTACCGTGCTCACACTCAACAACTCAACAATGTGTGTATAAACAGTAGTCCCCCCAAATTCGTGGGGGTTACATTCCAAGACCACCTGCGAATTTGGAAAAACCGCTAATTCTGGACGTGGTTAACAAAAATGCCTATTTTTATAGTTTAAACCCTAAATATGCCCCCATAACACTCTGAAGGAGGGGTGTTAATGTTGCAGTTTAAAAACTGTAGTGTAAAGCACCCTTCTGGCAAGACAGTGATGGAGTGAATGATGGTGAAAGTTTTTCTTTTTCAGGTCAGCCTTTCTCAGTGGGAAACGACCGATATGTAAAAAAAAAAACTTAGATATACTTCCTCACGTATACGATTTACTTCGACGTTAGTTGACAGATCTGTAATATTATTGTATTTAATTTATTCCTGAACAGATATTAGACTTAAGCCATTGTGAACTAGAAGATGCCTCAGCCTTGCAACACCTACCTATCGTGTCCTTGTTGGATATTAGTCACAACCAGCTGCGACTTTTGCCACGTCTTTCATCTACTGCTACCTACTCCATTACAGTCCTCATAGCTAATAATAATCTATTTTCTCATTTAAGTGGTAAGTATGGTCAGTATTTAAGTTATGTTGGTCAGTAAACTTGACTTCAATCTCATTATGTATAATATGCTAAAATATAATACTGTAACTTGTTATTCAACTGCTTGTTAATTACTGCTAAACCGCTACTACCTCTGTTGATATATAAAAACAATGTTCAATTCGAATCAGCTATGATATACAGTGGACCCTCGACTAATGATATTATTTCATTTCAGACGTCTGTTCGGGTGCTGTTACCGACCGAATTTGTTCCCATAAGGAATATTGTGAAATAGATTAGTCCGTTTCAGACCCCAAAAAATTCACGTACAAAAGCACTTACAAAAATACACTTGCATAACTGGTCGAGTTGGGAGCTGATCGTTAGTCGAGGGTCCACTGTGTATGTCTAGTATTAACTAGTCTGTAAAGCATTAGATTTAGTCTGCCTGAAATGCCTCAGCATGATAGTGGCTTTCTTTGCACTTAGCAAATCAGTATTGTAATTACACTTGTCAACTATGCAAGGAAATAAACTCCTTAATCCTTAATTATGTACAACAACAATTACAGTTTATTAAGCATTCGTAGAAAACCATCAAAAACCAAAAACACGGTTGCAGTTTTTTCCCATTATGCACTGCATGGGGCAGGATTTTTATATATGATTCACACTTAACTGCAGAGACCTATTCTCTCCTATCTAGGCCCAAATTTACTGCTCACTGCTTATCTGAGTGAGCTGAGCTCATCACATTCTACGGCACAGATCCTGAGCTCAAAGCCATAGTACTACGACACAGACTTCGAAGTGATTAAGCATTAGGATGAGAGTCTGTTAATGCATCGCATGCTAGTCTCATTTTGTACCTAACAATATATTATTGTACTACTACTACTACTACCACCACCTCTTCCTGCCTATATATAGCCATCCTACTCCACTTCTGGTTAGTGTGACTTTGTAAATGGTCCAAGTCGGACCGAAACGTCGTTGTAAGCTTCTCTCTTTTATGTGCGGGTTATTTGTGTATCGTTCCAGTCACGGTATTGTGCTTTTTTTGTTATTTAATATATTATTATGTGTAAATTACACTTCATACAGCATAAAAAGTAATAAAAATTTGATTCTGAATTTGAGGGTTCATGTATAGTTCCAATACCTTCAGAGCTTTCTAATTAAGATGACTTCATTCAGAGTAGTATCTATGGCAGGTCAGTAATCCAGAATAGCCCAAGACAACAATGATATCTTTTCTCTGTATCTGCTACTACTTTTCCACTTCTTCTTTTTGCCTCTTGTTGTCCTGTCCCCTTCCCTATATACACTGGCTCCCTCACCTTCATGTATTAGTGTGACTTGTAAATGGTCTGAGTCAGACCAAAACATCGTCATAAGCTGCTCTCCTGTGAGCAGGATATTTGTACATGATTTTTGTTCTCAGTTTTGTTTCTTTTTCTTTTTTTAATTTCATTAATGTTTCTTGAAATTTTTTACCATATAATGTTTATGAGTGGATACAAGAGGAAAATGTATTGAGTATCTTATTGATGACTAGGATGCATGTTCAGTATTTGGGCACGTTTATTGTTGATATGTTTTGCCTAACAGTAGGCTTCTTGAGTGGAATACAGAAGCAGTAGAAATAAAAACATGGTGTAATTAGTCCAATACGCTGGAAGACGTAGCTTTGAGGTGGTCAGTCCCTCAGTTTAGAAAAGAGTTCAACTGTTAATGTGTATAGTTGTAACATGAAATCGTAATGACACGATTGCAAACAAACCATACCACGGGCGGGGATAGAACCCACGATCAGAGAGTCACAAAACTCCAGACCGTCGCGTTAGCCACTGGACCAGCTGGTGGCTAACACGACGGTCTGGAGTTTTGAGACTCTCTGATCGCGGGTTCTATCCCCGCCCGTGGTATGGTTTGTGTATAGTTGTATTTTTTGAAGTGTCAGAAGTACTGAATGAACTCATAGGAACAGAGCACTTTGTAAATCAGACACCTTTTCCTGTAAATGACACTTTCTTAGTTCTTTCTTTTCTTCTTTCAACAAACCAGCCGTATCCCACCAAGGCAGGGTGGCCCAAAAAGAAAAACGAAAGTTTCTCTTTTTAAATTTAGTAATTTATACGGGAGAAGGGGTTACTAGCCCCTTGCTCCCAGCATTTTAGTCGCCTCTTACAACACACATGGCTTACGGAGGAAGAATTCTGTTCCACTTCCCCATGGAGATAAGAGGAAATAAATAAGAACAAGAACTAGAAAGAAAATAGAAGAAAACTCAGAGGGGTGTGTATATATATGCTTGTACATGTATGTAAATGCAGCAGCGAGGAGACGGTTGGAGGCAGTGGAGATGTCCTGTTTAAGGGCAATGTGTGGTGTAAATATTATGCAGAAAATTCGGAGTGTGGAAATTAGGAGAAGGTGTGGAGTTAATAAAAGTATTAGTCAGAGGGCAGAAGAGGGGTTGTTGAAGTGGTTTGGTCATTTAGAGAGAATGGATCAAAGTAGAATAACATGGAAAGCATATAAATCTATAGGGGAAGGAAGGCGGGGTAGGGGTCGTCTTCGAAAGGGTTGGAGAGAGGGGGTAAAGGAGGTTTTGTGGGCAAGGGGCTTGGACTTCCAGCAAGCGTGCGTGAGCGTGTTAGATAGGAGTGAATGGAGATGAATGGTACTTGGGACCTGACGATCTGTTGGAGTGTGAGCAGGGTAATATTTAGTGAAGGGATTCAGGGAAACCGGTTATTTTCATATAGTCGGACTTGAGTCCTGGAAATGGGAAGTACAATGCCTGCACTTTAAAGGAGGGGTTTGGGATATTGGCAGTTTGGAGGGATATGTTGTGTATCTTTATATGTGTATGCTTCTAGACTGTTGTATTCTGAGCACCTCTGCAAAAACAGTGATAATGTGCGAGTGTGGTGAAAGTGTTGAATGATGATGAAAGTATTTTCTTTTTGGGGATTTTCTTTCTTTTTTTGGGTCACCCTGCCTCGGTGGGAGACGGCCGACTTGTTGAAAAAAAAAAAAAAAAACATGTATGTGTAGTGTGCCCTAAGTGTAAGTAGAAGTAGCAAGACATACTGAAATCTTGCATGTTTATGAGACAGAAAAAAGACACCAGCAATCCTACCATCATGTAAAACAATTACAGGTTTCCATTTTACACTCGCTTGGCAGGACGGTAGTACCTCCCTGGGTGGTTGCTGTCTACCTAGGACTTTCTTAGTTATCTTTAACTTTCTTAAAGCTGCTAACTACCTAACACTGCACAAGCAGAGGCAAATGGTTTTAATGAGTTGATGTGCTGTTAAAGTGTGAGCAAGGTAACATTTATATAGGAGTTCAAGGAAACGAGTTAGCTGGACTCGAGTCCTGGAGGTGGGAAGTACATTGCCTGTGCTCTGAAGGAAGGGTGTTGATGTTGCAGTTTTTAAACTGTAGTGTTGACACACCTCTGGCAAGACGGTAATGGAGTGAGTGATGATGAAAGTGTTTCTTCCTTTTCAGGTCACCCTGCCTTGGTGGGAAACAGCTCATGTGTTATTAAAAAAATAGAATCACACAAGTGTCATATATACATCTGTCATTACTATATACTCTACCTTTATTGAAATTCCTACCTTGTTTTATTGTGATATTCGGGATATTGTCAGTTTGGATGGCCTTCTAAACTCTTACATGAGTGCTTCTGTAAAGACAGTGATTATATATGAGTGATGGTGAAAGTGTTGAATGATGAGAGTTTTTTCTCTTTTGGGGGGTTTTTCTTTCTTGTGGGTCATCCTGCCTCGGGAAATGGCTGACGTGTTAAAAAAAAAAATGGTATATATATGTTTGCAGGTTTACAAGAAATGAAAAACATTGAGGAGCTAGATCTGCGTGACAACGTGCTAAGCATGAAGGACGTCCTCACTCCCCTCGGTGCCTTGCCTCAGTTAAGAAATCTCAAGATCACTGGTAACCCCATCACCTGGGATATTAATTACAGAAGTCACACTATCAGATACTTAAATCCTGCAACTGCTAACCATAAGGTACTGTATGTTATAGTCTATTCAGGTGCTCCTTGATTTGCAATGAGGTTACCTTCCTTTGAACTCGCCATAAGTCAGGACTTGAGTCCTGGAGGTGGGAAGTACAATGCCTGCACTTTAAAGGAGGGGTTTGTGATATTGACTGTTGGAGTGACATCTAAACTAAAAGGACACAAGTGCAACTAATGTGACATTTATTGTGGCAACGCTTCGCTCTCCAGGAGCTTTATCAAACCATTGGCTTGATAAAGCTCCTGGAGAGTGAAACATTGCCACAATAAATGTCACATTAGTTGCACTTGTGTCCTTTTACTTTACATATTGTCGGTAATTCTACCAACTTTATGACATCTAAACTGTTGTATCTGAGCGCCTCTGCATAGACAGTGATTATGTGTTAATGATGTCACCCTGTCTTGGTGGGAGACAGCCAATGTGTTGAGAAAAAAAAATAATTACTGAGTAAGTTAACACATAATTGCTGTAACTAATCAATACAAGTTAGGGACTTGCTGCCTTCATGCTGGGTAATTATCTTAATTTTCATCTACAAAGTCATAACTTTCACACTGTCATAAAGTCAGAATATCGTAAGTCAAGGAGCACCTGTACTGGTTTATAGCTTGCCTTGAATATGTAGATATCCAGGAAGTGTGTGAGAGCATTTTAGATAGGAGTAAGTGGAGATAAGTGGTTTTTATGACTTGACATGCTGTTGGTTAGTTGGACTTGAGTCCTGGAGGTGGTTAGTGTAATGCTTGCACTCTGAAGGAAGGGTGGGGACATGTTGCAGTCTTTTTAACTGTAGTGTAGGTGCACCTGGCAAGACAATGATGGAGTGAATGGTGATGAAAGTGTTGAATGATGATGAAAGTTTTTTCTTTCTTTTATGGGTCACCCTGCCTCAGTGGGAAACAGCTGATGTGTATTAATAAAATAAACATTTTTTTTTTTAACACATTGGCCGTTTCACACCGAGGCTGGGTGACCCAAAAAGAAAGAAAAAACTTTCATCATCATTCAACACTTTTACCATCACTCACACATAATCACTGTTTTTGCAGATGCGCTCAGACACGACAGCTTAGACATCCCTCCAAACTGCCAATATCCCAAACCTCTCCTTTAAAGTTCAGGCATTGTACTTCCCATTTCCAGGACTCAAGTCCGGCTAACCAGTTTCCCAGAATCCCTTAACTAAATATTACGCTGCCAACAGCTCATCAGGTCCCTAAAACCATTCGTCTCCATTCACTCCTGTCTAAGACGCTCGTGCACGCTTGCTGGAAGTCCAAGCCCCTCACCCAAAAAACCTTTACCCCCCTCCCTCCAACCTTTTCGGGGACAACCCCTACCCCGCCTTCCTTCTCCTACAGATTTATATGCTCTTCAAGCCATCTTACTTAGTTCCATTCTCTTTAAATGACCAAACCACCTCAACAGCCCCCCTTCAGCCCGCTGGCTAATACTTTTAGTAACTCCACACCTTCTCCTAATTTCCACACTACAAATTCTCTGCATAATATTTACACCACACATTGTCCTTAGACAGGACGTCTCCACTGCCTCCAGCTGCCTCCTCGCTGCATGGGTTGTAAAATAAACATATTCACGGGAAATTTGTTGATATCAACATTTAATTGCAGGTGGTATTTGATGGTCAAGCCCTTTCAAGTCAGGAATGTGAAGAGGTTGGCATCACTAGTGTACAAGATGGATTCTCATATTCACCAGAACTTCTCTCATCGCTCTCTTCACTCTCCCTTTGTTCTCCAGTTGATCCTTTATATCCTGCATCAGGATTACTCTCACAGCCTCTGTATTCACCACAAGAAACGAGCCTCATGCAGACTGATTCATTCGAACCCCAACCGGAGAGTTTAGTGCAAGAGTCCTTATCTACATCGGTCAAAAGCTCAGGTAAGATTACCATTGTGTGCTTATTCGTATATTGCATGAGGGTATTGTTACATTCATCTTGCTCTATTACTTTGGTGGACTCCTTGTGTGGGTGTGAGGCATGGATTTTGTTGCAATGAGAAGGCTGGAGACACTGATGTAGTGTTCAGAATGGTAAAACACACAGATAACCCACACATAGGAGAGAATAGCTTACAATAACGGTCTGACTTGGACCATTTACAAAGTCACAGTCCCTATCCCCCTCTAATATATATTAGTGTGTTATTGTGACTTTGTAAATGGTCCAAGTCAGACCGAAATGTCGTCGTAAGCTTCTCTGTCCTATGTGCGGGTTATTTGTGTGTTGTTCCAATCAGGTATTGTGCCTTTTATGTTCTTTAAAGTACTACTTAGACAAGGATGCATTACATTTCTATGGTTGTTAACATGTTTATAGATGGGGTTGTAAAAGTGAATGTTAAGGTGTTGGCAAGAGAGATGCTAGGATGTTGGCAAGAGAGATGCTAGGATGTTGGCAAGAGATAAGCTAGGATGTTAGCAAGAGAGATACTATGATGTTGGCAAGAGAGATGTTAGGATGTTGGCAAGAGAGATGCTAGAATGCTGGCAAGACTCACGAAATCGTAATGACACGATTGCAAACAAACTATACCCCGGCCGGGATTGAACCCGCGGTCAGAGATCCTCAAAACTCCAGCCCGTCGCGTTAGCCACTAGACCAGCTAGCCACAATAAGATTCGTCCAACTAGGTATATTTCTACACCATAGGAAGGTTAGCACAGGCACCACTGTGACCACAAATGCAAGTTTTTACAGACGAATCTCCAGCTAGCATGGCCGTGACGAACTCTAGCTCAAGTCCCCTCACTGCCGTCAACATGACTTGCATTTGTGGTCACAGTGGTGCCTGTGCTAACCTTCCTATGGTGTAGAAATAGACCTAGTTGGATGAATCTTGTTGTGGCTAGCTGGTCTAGTGGCTAACGCGACGGGCTGGAGTTTTGAGACTCTCTGACTGCGGGTTCAATCCCGGCCGGGGTATGGTTTGGTATGCTGGCAAGAGATATGCTACGGTGTTGGAAAGAGATATGCTTGGATGTTTGCAAGAAATGTGCTAGGATGTGGAAAATGGTGTGGGCTTAGAAAATGCTGGATCAGATACAGTGTGGGGATTTTCAATTAGTCTCCGCTGATGACATTTCTCTTGGGAGAGTCCGAAGAAACATTATATAGTTTGGTGGCTGAATTTGGTAGGATATGTATGAGGAGGAAATTAAAAGTGAACATGGAAAAGAGCAATGAGAGTAATAAAAGGCCTTGGCAATGATAGATTGAATATCAGATTGAAGGAATTGAGTATAGAGTAAGTAAATGTATTTAAATATTTGGGATATGTCATTAGAAGGTTATATGAAAGAGGTGAACCTCAGAATAGATGAAGGGAGAAAGGTGGGTGTGTGTATGTAAGTGGAGAGGTGAGTGTGTCTGTGTGTGAGAGAATGTGAGAAATTCATGTGATTAGGAACAAGTTTTTGTGAACTTGAATAACTGCTGAAACATGTGTAAGATAATACAGTGGACCCCCGGTTAACGATATTTTTTCACTCCAGAAGTATGTTCAGGTGCCAGTACTGACCGAATTTGTTCCCATAAGAAATATTGTGAAGTTGATTAGTCTATTTCAGACCCCCAAACATACACGTACAAACGCACTTACATAAATACATTTACATAATTGGTCACATTTGGAGGTAATCGTTATGCGGGGGTCCACTGTATATGTGAAGGTATACAGGGGAACTAGCTAGACAAACATTGTCATACTAGAAGGTAGGTTGAGTTGATTATTCTAGTGCATACAGGAGAATGCCACATATACAGCACCTGCTTTTGATGTTCCACATATTCATTGGCTTCAAATAGAGCCATTGTTCATTATATTCCACTTGCCAGCGATTGTCACCAGCAGGTTGAGCAATGGCTCGGTTGAAAGCCAAGGAAAATGTGGAACACCAAAAACAGATACTGTATATGTAGTCCCTCTTATATTTAGTGAGTTGACACACTTTGATATGTACTAATGATGATTGATACCCTTAACATCCTTTGCTAATCCTAACAAATTTCAAACGTGGAATAATCTCACTACCCAGGCAATGGACATCCCCGCAGAAAATCGAGGAAGAAACGCACTCGACACATAGCCATCACAGATCCTGATAGTGAGAATATAGACAGTGACAGTATACATGTGGCAGACAATGATATCTTGGAGAGAATGGGAACACCACTGACAGTGTCATTGCTGGATGGTAGGTCAAAAAAAAAGTACTCTCAATTTATATATGGCCTCAGATAGATCTTTATTATGGTATTAATCAGGTAATAAGACAAAATATTTGTAGTTTTAATTGTCTTGTAATTTTGTCTGTGTAAAGATGAAATGATTATGTGAGGGAAAAAATTAAGCAGTGAACTGTGAATGCACTGATGGAAGGGTGGGAGTGTTGCAGTCCTAGAGGTGAGAAGTACAACACCTGCACCCTGAAGGGTCATAATGACACAATTACAAACAAACTACTGTACAGATGGGGCTTGAACTTGTGGCAAGTGAGCGGTAAAACTCCAGTCCAGTACATAAGCCACTGGGCCAGCTGACTACAATAAGATTTATCCAATTAGGTATATTTATACACCATAGGGAGGTTAGCATGGGCACCACTGTGACCACAAATGCAAATTTTTACAGATGAATCTCCTGCCAGCGTGGCTGTGACGAACTCTAGCTCAAGTCCCCTCAAAGCTGTTATTTGTGGTTATGGGACTCATTCTAACCTCCCTGTGGTGTATAAATATATCTAGTCAGATGAATCCCATTGTAGTCAGCTGGCCCAGTGGCTTACATGCTGGCCCACTCGCCCCACCCCTGAAGGGTGGGTGGGTGGGTTGTCGTGTTTTCAGTTCAAAGGGTAGGGTGGGCAGTCGTGTTGCAGTTCAAAAGGTAGGGTGAGTGGGTAGGCAGTTGTGTTGCAGTTCAAAGGGTAGGGTGAGTGGGTGGGCAGTCGTGTTGCAATTCAAAGGGTAGGGTGAGTGGGTGGGCAGTCGTGTTGCAGTTCAAAGGGTAGGGTGAGTGGGTGGGCAGTCATGTTGCAATTCAAAGGGTAATCTCAATTGTGATATCTGCACACACTTCTGTCAAAACAGCTGTTGAATGAGTGATAGCGAATGTGTTTCATTTTTGGGTCACTCTACCTTGGTGGGAGATGGCCAGCCTGTAAATAATAATAATAATCACTGCCATAGAAATGATGATCAAAGGGAATAATAATTTCAGAATATTTAGACCTGTCACTGTTTATACACAAGTCTTTCTTTCAACACACCTGCTGTATCCCACCGAGGCGGGGCGGCCCAAAAGGAAAAACGAAAGTTTCTCCTTTTACATACAGTAATATATACAGGAGAAGGGGTTACTAGCCCCTTGCTCCCGGCATTTTAGTTGCCTCTTACAACACGTATAGCTTACAGAGGAAGAATTCTGTTCCACTTCCCCATGGAGATAAGAGGAAATAAACAAGAACAATAACTGTGATATATGATATGATAGTGGATAGAGGAGCAATGTGGCAGATGTTGCAAGTATATGGAATAGGTGGTAAGTTATTAAATGCTGTAAAGAGTTTTTATGAGGATAGTGAGGCTCAGGTTAGGGTGTGTAGAAGAGAGGGAGAATACTTCCCGGTAAAAGTACGTCTTAGACAGGGATGTGTAATGTCACCATGGTTGTTTAATATATTTATAGATGGGGTTGTAAAAGAAGTAAATGCTAGGGTGTTTGGGAGAGGGGTGGGATTAAATTATGGGGAATCAAATTCAAAATGGGAATTGACAGTTACTTTTTGCTGATGATACTGTGCTTATGGGAGATTCTAAAGAAAAATTGCAAAGGTTAGTGGATGAGTTTGGGAATGTGTGTAAAGGTAGAAAGTTGAAAGTGAACATAGAAAAGAGTAAGGTGATGAGGGTATCAAATGATTTAGATAAAGAAAAATTGGATATCAAATTGGGGAGGAGGAGTATGGAAGAAGTGAATGTTTTTAGATACTTGGGAGTTGACGTGTCGGCGGATGGATTTATGAAGGATGAGGTTAATCATAGAATTGATGAGGGAAAAAAGGTGAGTGGTGCGTTGAGGTATATGTGGACTCAAAAAACTTTATCTATGGAGGCAAAGAAGGGAATGTATGAAAGTATAGTAGTACCAACACTTATATGGATGTGAAGCTTGGGTGGTAAATGCAGCAGTGAGGAGACGGTTGGAGGCAGTGGAGATGTCCTGTCTAAGGGCAATGTGTGGTGTAAATATTATGCAGAAAATCGAGTGTGGAAATTAGGAAAAGGTGTGGAGTTAAATAAAAGCATTAGTCAGAGGGCAGAAGAGGGGTTGTTGAGGTGGTTTGGTCATTTAGAGAGAATGGATCAAAGTAGAATGACATGGAAAGCATATAAATCTATAGGGGAAGGAAGGAGGGGTAGGGGTCATCCTCAAAGGGTTGGAAAGGGGGTAAAGGAGGTTTTGTGGGCGAGGGGCTTGGACTTCCAGCAAGCGTGCGTGAGCGTGTTAGATAGGAGTGAATGGAGACGAATGGTACTTGGGACCTGACGATCTGTTGGAGTGTGAGCAGGGTAATATTTAGTGAAGGGATTCAGGGAAACTGGTTATTTTCATATAGTCGGACTTGAGTCCTGGAAATGAGAAGTACAATGCCTGCACTTTAAAGGAGGGGGTTTGGGATATTGGCAGTTTGGAGGGATATGTTGTGTATCTTTATACGCATATGCTTCTAAACTGTTGTATTCGGAGCACCTCTGCAAAAACAGTGATAATGTGTGAGTGAGGTGAAAGTGTTGAATGATGATGAAAGTATTTTCTTTTTGGGGATTTTCTTTCTATTTTGGGTCACCCTGCCTCGGTGGGAGACGGTCTACTTGTTGAAAAAAAAAAAAACTAGAAAGAAAATAGAAGAAAACCCAGAGGGGTGTGTATATATATGCTTGTACATGTATGTGTAGTGTGACCTAAGTGTAAGTAGAAGTAGCAAGACATACCTGAAATCTTGCATGTTCATTAAACAGAAAAAAGGACACCAGCAATCCTACCATCATGTAAAACAATTACAGGCTTTTGTTTTACACTCACTTGGCAGGACGGTAGTACCTTCCTGGGCGGTTGCTGTCTACCAACCTACTACCTAGATTTATACACAAGTATTCTTAATAAAATGGGTGTTGTTTTAGAGCATTGCATATTCTTAAGAATTAGACACTTGTGCAACATGTGGGTATCTTTATTTATAGACATTTTGCCCTCCAGTGGCTTTAGCAGTACAAATAACAAAAAGGCACAGTAACGTGACTGGAACAATACACAGATAACCCACACATAGGAGAGAGGAGCTTATGATGTCGTCGTAAGTTACTCTCTCCTATGTGCAGGTTATTTGTATATTTATCAATACAATACAGAAAACCAATGGATGGCTGAACATAGACAAAGAAAGATACCCAGATGTTGCACAAGCATCTTAATTCTTCATCATACCAGTACTGTATACCGTTCATGTACAATATTGCAGATGCTCCACCCCTCAACGTGACTACAAGCCTCACCTTGACTTCAGGCCCTACCTTCCCTTCCAGGATCAGCTACACTGTTGCTGAGGCACTTACTTCCCACACCCTCAAGACTACCATGAGGTAAGCTGATTTCATCCTTTTCTTATACACTTCATTTATTGAGATAGAACTTCACAGAACGTACGCTGTGAAGGATAAGCAGAGATGAGCTAGTTTGGTTGATCATTTGTATTGTGATGTCCCTGTACTGAAGACATCTATTAGCTGAGTAATGGTTAATGTTTCTTCCTTCATGTCACCCTACCTTAATGGAAAATGGGTAATACTGTAAAAAAAAAAGTCTTACCTTTATATTTTCAGTCTGGGATTATTCTAATGTATATAGTCAGACTTGAGTCCTGGAAATGGGAAGTACAATGCCTGCACTTTAAAGGAGGGGTTTGGGATATTGGCAGTTTGGAGGGATATGTTGTGTATCTTTATATGTGTATGCTTCTAGACTGTTGTATTCTGAGCACCTCTGCAAAAGCAGTGATAATGTGTGAGTGTGGTGAAAGTGTTAAATGATGATGAAAGTATTTTCTTTTTGGGGATTTTCTTTCTTTTTTGGGTCACCCTGCCTCGGTGGGAGACGACCAACTTGTTGAAAAAAAAAAAAAAAAAAAATAAAAGTTTTTAATGTTCGTTAGTAAAATATATTAGCACCATATTTGCTGCTCTCCAGATACAAGTTGCTGATCTTTGAGGTTTAAATCCAATACTAGAAGTTCTATATTATGACTCAGGAAATCATAATAGCAATTGTAAACAAACCATGTAACGCACTGGCCTAGAGTTTTAGGACTCACTTGCCATGGTTCAAACCCCACCCGTTCCCTAGTTTTTACCAATTTATATACAGTGGACCCCCGCATAACGATTACCTCCGAATGTGACCAATTATGTAAGTGTATTTATGTAAGTGCGTTTGTATGTGTATGTTTGGGGGTCTGAAATGGACTAATCTACTTCACAATATTCCTTATGGGAACAAATTCGGTCAGTACTGGCACCTGAACATACTTCTGGAGTGAAAAAATATCGTTAACCGGGGGTCCACTGTATCTCTAACCCAAATTTTATTTTATAGAGCTAACATAATCTTTTATATCCAGAACATCTGCCCTAGAGCAGAGTGATCGATTGCTGGAGGAAATTCTGCAGTCCAAAACACAGTCAGGGACACCAGGTGCTCAAAGTGATATTACTATTCTAGTCAACACAGACACAAATGAAGATAGTGACCAAAGAGAAGAGTTAGACACTAGGAAGGAAGACTTGCTTGCTAGCAGTCCCTCTGATCACATTGATAAGGAGAGCACTCCTGAAGACAATCCTTCTGCTAGTGATATTCTCAGTGTGAAGACTAGTGATCAACCAAGTATGGAGTCAAGTATGGAGTCTAGTTTCTATAAGGGAAGCTCGAACTTTTCTCGGAGGTCGTCGCAGGATGTGTCCCCATCACAGAGTGGTAGTGAAGGTAGGTTACATTATTAGTTTGGATGCAATTTTTTTGTACAGAATTAAACTATTAAAATAACAATACCATGGCTTTCTCATGGGGTAATGGGTTAGGAGCCTTCCTCCGTAAATCATGCTTGTCATAAGAGGTGACTTAAATGCCGGGAACAAGGGGTTAGTAACCTCTTTCCCTGTATAAATTACAGTGGACCCCCGCATAACGATTACCTCCGAATGCGACCAATTATGTAAGTGTATTTATGTAAGTGCGTTTGTACGTGTATGTTTGGGGGTCTGAAATGGACTAATCTAATTCACAATATTCCTTATGGGAACAAATTCGGTCAGTACTGGCACCTGAACATACTTCTGGAGTGAAAAAATATCGTTAACCGGGGGTCCACTGTACTAAATGTAAAAAGAGCTAGTTTTTCTTTGTAGATCACCTGCCTCAGTGGGATACAGCCAGTGTTGAAAAAAATTAGTTTTGTGTGCAAGAGGCTTATACTTCCAGCAAGCGTGCGTGACCGTGTTAGATAGGAGCAAGTTGAGGCAAATGGTTTTTATATATATTGCAGTTTTTGAACTGTAATGTTGTCAGGCCAGGCAGTGATGGTGTGAGTGATGAAAGTGTTTTTTTCTTTTTCGGATCATCCTGCCTCGGTGAGAAATGACTGATATGTTATTTAACCCGTAAACGGTCCAAACGTATATATACGTTTTTTCAACATTTGAAAGTATGTAAAAAAAAAGTAGATCTTCTTTTTGTTTTTTTACATTTGAAAATGTGTAAAAAAACTTTGATCTATTTTTTTATTTTTCTTTGTTATACTATTTGAAAATATGTAAAAAAACGTAGATCTTAGATCTGCTTGGACCGTTTACGGGTTAAAAAAAAAAATGTTTGGATGATTAGGTTAGGTTAGGTTAGGTTAGGTAAGGTTAGGTTAGGTAAGGTTCGTCAGGAAACAGGACAAATGTTTCCTGACGCGGGTCTTAGTCAGATGATGACCCGCCTTTGGAGCTTTTGGTCATCTGACCGAGGCCTTCCGCTGGCTTACCGGTCCACCCCTTTAAAAATTATGGTCATTTATAAGCAGTCTGTCTCTTGTTTGGATGATGAAAACATTGACTAAAGTTTTATCTTTAAATTGCAGGTAAATAATGAATCATCAGTCAGGTGTGAGAGTGAGTGAAGGCAAATGGTTTTTGGTATTTGACGAGCTGTTGGAGTGAGAAAAAGGTGATATTTTGTGAAGAGATTCAGGGAAAACCGGTTAGCCGGACTTGAGTCCTGGAGGTGGGAAGTACAGTGCCTGCATTCTGAAGGAGGGGTGGAGATGTTTGCAGTTTGGAGGGGCATCATCTGAACTATAGTGTTGCCACACCTCTGGCAAGACGGTGATGGAGTGCGTGATGGTACAAGTGTTTCTTCTTTGTCAGGCCACCCTACCTTGGTGGGAGACAGCCTATGTATTAAAAAAAAAAGTGTGTTCTCCAGAATTGAAGATTTGAGTTTTAATAATTCTGAAAGTGTAGTTTTGTATACTGTATGTCATAAAGGCTGAGAGTTTACTACATTCCTTATTTTAAGTATTAAAGTATTCTTGACAGGTGGTGTACAGGTGAAATGCAGCATTAATGACCCTCATGTAATCAAATTAAACCCAATAAATCACCTTTGAATTTAACAATTGCACAGGATGGCCCTGTGCATACAGCACCTCTTTTCAGTGTTCCTTGTTTTGTTGACGTTCAGATAAGCCATTGTTCATTATGTTCGGTGCTTTTACCACTTTTTCACCATGTTTGCACAATAGGTGCATAAGGGTAGGGTGACAAGCACCATATTTTAGGGTAAATACTGTATTTTTTTTAACACGTCGGCCGTTTCACACCGAGGCAGTGTGACCCAAGAAGAAAGAAAAACCCCAAAAGAAAGAAAAAGCTTTCATCATCATTCAACACTTTCACCATCACACGTACATAATCACTGTCTTTGCAGAGACGCTGAGATGTGACAGTTTAGATGTCCCTCCAAACTGCCAGTATCACAAGCCCCTCCTTTAAAGTGCAGGCAGTATACTTCCTGTTTCTAGGAATTTTTTGTTTTTTATGCCTAGCTGTATTGAGCACTTAATATACAATAGTAAAAGCACATTATCAGGCATTATGCATTCCATAATGAAACACACTTTTCCATCCTCCAGCAATTTTCACTTGCCGCATGGGGTTGGGAACCCCAGAACCGTACAAACGGGGCCCTCCTTTCTTGCAAAAACCAGCTTTATTTACTAATGTTGCTCATATAGCTCCCTCCCTTTTTTATTTGTATATTCTTGTATTTTGCCAAACAGACGAGAAAGATGAAGTGCACCGTGTCCTTGCTCAGAAAGAGACTGAAGATCAGCCGCCATTTGAAACGACTTTGAAGGAGGGAGAGGAACATGTTCCATCCAGTAAATCCGTAGACGATGTTATCCTCGCTGTCACAAATGTATTTTTCAAGGAAAAGCACAGCATCACAACCAGAACTCTCTTCAGGGTATGTACCGGACTTGTAAAACTTAAGCGTCTCAGCCTTAAGTAGTCTTCACAGAATGAAAAGGCAGAACACCACAGCTGAAACAATACTCAAATAACCCACTTTATTTATTTATTTATTTATTTATTTATTTATTTAAAAATTTGAGCACACATACAGAGGTACAAAAAATACAGATAAGAGCAGCATGCCAAAGCCACTTATACTATGCATAGCATTACGGGCTGGCTTAAAATTAACTTAAGATTAACTAAGCAATGATGAAATCAGTGATAAAACTTTAATGTAAACAGATTACTATAAAGCACAAGTGAGTATTACAAAGACAGGTCATATGGTTGTATGCATTGTTGTACATTCAGTAGAATGGAGTATTCTGTTAGGTAGTGTATTTAAAAAATAATAAAGTTAGATTGGGTTTTAGGTTTAACATTTATGTGATATAATTGTGAGAAACATTTCTCCTATGTGTGGGTTATTTGTGTATCAATGTATGTAAAAAAAACTACCAGGGATATAAGAAAGAACGAGGAGCCATAGTTTTTAATTACACGCCCAAGTGAGCCACAGAGAAGCATTTTATCTGTGTAAGAATAAATGTTTTCATCTTTGGGTCACCCTACCTTGGTGGGAGATGGCCATTTAAGTCAAACAAAAAAAATGAAGTAAAATGAGCTGAGTAATGATAATGGAAGTGTCTCAGTACAGAGGTTCAAAGAATATATAGGAGTCGAGACTAAGAACTGGAGCTAGAGCTTATGTCTTAACCCTTAAACGGTCTAAACAGATCGACGTTCAAATTCGTAGCTACAAAAGTAGATCTACTTTTTTTTTACATATTTTCAAATATAACAAAAAAAAATATAGATAAAAGTTTTTTTACACGTTTTCAAATGTAAAACAAAAGAGATCTACTTTTTTTTACATATTTTCAAATATAACAAAAAAAAATATAGATAAAGTTTTTTTACACATTTTCAAATGTAAAACAAAAGAGATCTACATTTTTTTACATACTTTCAGATGTTGAAAAAACGTATATATACGTTTGGACCGTTTAAGGGTTAAAATCTATAGTGATTACTTAGTACAGTGGTACCCTGAGTTTCAGCCATAATTCATTCCAGACGGCTGTTCGAGTGTCGTTACCGAACAAATTTGTTCCCACAAGGAATGTAATTTAAATTAGTCCGTTTCAGACCCCCAAAAATACACTTACAAAAGCACTTACAATAACACACCTACATAATTGTTCGAGTTGGGAGCTGTATGAAACTCGGGGCACCACTGTATATACTCACTGAAACTTAAAAAGTAGGTAACTTCATGTATTCTCCATGGGGAAGTGGAACAGAATTCTTCCTCCGTAAGCCATGCATGTTGTAAGAGGCGACTAAAATGCCGGGAGCAAGGGGCTAGTAACCCCTTCTCCCGTATAAATTACTAAATTTAAGAGAAACTTTCGTTTTCCTTTTTGGGCCACCCTGCCCTGGTGGGATGCGGCCGGTGTGTTGAAAGAAAGAAAGAACTTCATGTATATGTGCTCATTATTGAGTACAACTAGGTCTCAATTTGTGCAAAAAATGAACCCTGTGAAGCAGTCACATTATTCAGATTCATACTATTCAAATTATGTGTAATTTTTGCACACGATTTGAAGAGTTTGGGGTGAAAATCTAGCATGAATTAATTTTGCAATAAATCCAAATTACACTTGCACTATTTGAGACCTGATGATATATAATGTCTCATACTGTACTTATAGAACTCAGTAAAAGCCATGTAGCATGTACTAATAGGATATTGAATTCTCTTGTATTCATTATAACTCCCAATTTTATTTTTACAACCACCAAAGAGACTATATATAAGCAATCAGTTAGACATTCCCTTATTAATCTCAAGTTTGCCCGAAATGCTCTGCATATTAAGGGGCTTCCTGCACACACACCTAAATGTCATTCTTCACTGTACAATAATTGTATCGTACTGAAATAAAGTATCTTTATTTAAAAGTCCCATGTGTATTTACTGACATAGTACTTGTCTTTACCAGTGGGAGTTGCGGTGCATTGAGAGCGTAGAGTTACTGTCGTCGTCGCCTCACAGGATTCTTGTCACCTTCGACACTATAAGACCTGCCTACAAGACAAGAACATACATCCTTGACACTCCTGATTATCAGGTACAGTCTTCACGTTCTTTCTTACTTTTTTTTTTTTTACAGTAATAGTGTGGGTGATGGTGAAAGTGAATCTTTTTCAGGACACCCGGCCTTGGTGGGAGACAGCCAGTGTTTTAAAAAAGAAATTAAATAAAGTAAAGTAAACCTTTTAGACAAGGGACTTATTTAAAAATACAGTGGACCCCTCACATAACGATATTAATTGGTACCCAAGAACAAATATCGTTAGGCGAGTTTTTTAGCATTAGCTGAGGCAAAATATTAGCGTTTAAATGTATCGTTAGGCGAATTTAACGTTATGCGATGCATTCGTTAGGCGAGGGTCCACTGTATGAGCAAAATCCACTGAGCAAATTGTACTATTTTTTTTTTTTTTTTTTCAACAAGTCGGCCGTCTCCCACCAAGGCAGGGTGACCCAAAAAAGAAAGAAAATCCCCAAAAAGAAAATACTTTCATCATCATTCAACACTTTCACCACACTCACACATTATCACTGCTTTTGCAGAGGTGCTCAGAATACAACAGTTTAGAAGCATATACGTATAAAGATACACAACATATCCCTCCAAACTGCCAATATCCCAAACCCCTCCTTTAAAGTGCAGGCATTGTACTTCCCATTTCCAGGACTCAAGTCCGACTATATGAAAAATAATCGGTTTCCCTGAATCCCTTCACTAAATATTACCCTGCTCACACCCCAACAGATCGTCAGGTCCCAAGTATCATTCGTCTCCATTTCACTCCTATCTAACACGCTCATGCACGCTTGCTGGAAGTCCAATGCCCCTCGCCCACAAAAACCTCCTTTACCCCTCTTTCCAACCTTTCGAGGACGACCCCTACCCTCTTTCTTCCCCTATAGATTTGTATGCTTTCCATGTCATTTACTTTGATCCATTCTCTAAATGACCAAACCACCTCAACAACCTCTTCTGCCCTCTGACTAATGCTTTTATTAACTCCAAACCTTCTCCTAATTTCCACACTCCGAATTTTCTGCATAATATTTACACCACACATTGCTCTTAAACAGGACATCTCCACTGCCTCCAACCGTCTCCTCGCTGCTGCATTTCCTACCCAAGCTTCACATCCATATAAGAGTGTTGGTACTACTATACTTTCATACATTCCCTTCTTTGTCTCCATAGATAACGTTTTTTGACTCCACATATACCTCAACGCACCACTCACCTTTTTTCCCTCATCAATTCTATGATTAACCTCATCATCCTTTATTTTCGTTGCTTATTGCAATACATCTGTAAATTGTGTATATTGCTTTGTACTTTAGTGCTTTTTTTCCTATTTTTAACATTTATTTTTTATTATCACACCGGCCGATTCCCACCAAGGCAGGGTGGCCCGAAAAAGAAAAACTTTCACCATCATTCACTCCATCACTGTCTTGCCAGAAGGGTGCTTTACACTACAGTTTTTAAACTGCAACATTAACACCCCTCCTTCAGAGTGCAGGCACTGTACTTCCCATCTCCAGGACTCAAGTCCGGCCTGCCGGTTTCCCTGAATCCCTTCATAAATGTTACTTTGCTCACACTCCAACAGCACGTCAAGTATTAAAAACCATATATTTTTTTATTTAACAAACACTCGGACAGTACCCTCTTAGTCATTATATTCTGTATACAATATAATGTATAATTTGGAAAAAAATATATACCCTCTTAGTCACTGTATTCTGTATACAGTATAATTTATGGCTACTGTATTTTTTGTATCATTTCTTAATGATTATTTTCATTACTGGTTTTTATTTTTTGTCATACAGAGTTTGATGCAAGTTCTAACACCCATTCTGGAAAGAAATACCCTGCAGGAGATGCTGCACTCAGCCATGATGTGCCTCAAGTGCGACACTCAGTTCTCTCGAGACTTAGCCATTCAGCCTGATGGTGAGTTTCGCTCTTGTTTCCCTAAATTTTTGTATTTCATTAGTGTTACTCATTTTCATTTATAAATCTTCGTTCCCAGGCCATACTCACTAAATATTGTGCTTTATTAATGGAATACAGGTGCTCCTCGACTTATGATGGGGTTACATTCCAATAAACCCATCTTAAGCTGAAAATATCGTAAGTTGATTTTTTTTTTTTCAACAAGTCAGGTTGCATCCTAATTGGCCTGTTTGTACTAACTTGGGATATTTGTAAATTAAGGTCCTGTATGTTGATACTTTCTACTAAATTGCAGACATCATTAATAATAACTTACTCAGGTTCCAGTGCACTGAAATGCCCCAACTGCGGTGGTGGCATTGTGGTTCGTGTGGAGAAGGTGGATCATCCTGCTGTTCCATCCTCTGCTGTGTACGACGCAAGAGGTCTACTCTGTAGCACACTCATAGATCAAGCAATAACACACAAATCAGGCTCCAGGGGAGAAACTCATCTAGCAGGTAAAACAAAAATGAGGCATGGAACGTGCCTGGAGTTTCAGGACTCGCTTGACGTGGGTTTGAACCCCACCTTTTCTGTGGTTCGTTTGCAGTTGTGTCATTACGATTTTGCAAGTCAGAACAAAAAATGGTTTCTTAGCTATTCAAGACGAAGACGAAAAAAATCCAGGGAGGTACAGCAAATAGTATATCTTGTGCTTGCATATGGAAGATCAAGCCTCCACCACCACTTACACTGAATGCCCCCACATGGGTTTAGTGCTTTTCATAAATATAATGTATCATATTTTCCAACATATAAGGCATGTCTTTTTTTTTTTCCCCACAAAACGTTTGAAAATCATCCTGCGCCTTATATGCTGAAGGTCAGGGTCTAAGGTAGGCTTTGTGTTATGCTTTAGCATAAAGTAAGATTATAATTAACCCTTGAATAAAATTGCTTATTTACCTATTATGATACTTCTGTCATATGCCTTATATGTCAGTAACACTGCTAAAAGAATCAAATTCGCAGTAATGTGAATATCAACACCAAGTCAGACTGCAGCACTGTGGTATGCTCCTCTCTCCTATATGGGTTATTTGTGTATTGTTCTGGTCACAATATTGTGCCTTGTTGTTCTTTAATAAAACTCGGACTTGGACAAAAATGAATTTCATAACACTTGCTGCCCATTTCAAGTTTAGAAACCTTTTCGTTCTCTAGCTTAGCTAGAGTTGACATTGTACAATCAAACTGTTTTGAGATGCATTGTCTTTTAAAAATGGATTTTGTTAGTCTTTAGTAAATTATAAATTAATACCACCTTCCTAAAGTAAATAGCAGTGGAAGAAATCGCAGTAAATGTGTGATTGCAAATGTGTAAAAATACCACGGTGAAAATAGGAAAAGCACCTGAGTGCTTTCATGTGCTTTCACATCTTCAGAGGAATTGGCAGAAATGGCTTAGGTATTTTTTCCATTTTCACTGGTATTTCTATATGAATAATGTTATTTCTTTATGGATAATAGTGTGCGAGGGCTTAATGGAGTGTTCACAAAAATACGTACCTTTAAGATCCGTATATTTCTCTGCTGTGGTACAAGGAGGGGTCTCACCCTTCTTGACTTATTTTACATCGAAGAAATATTGTCCAGCATGTGTGTGGCATGTTTGGGTGGTAAGCTTCTCTCTGTTAGGTAAAGGACACATGTTCAACTAATGTGATGTTTTATTGTGGCAACGTTTCACTCACCAAGCACTTTGACAAAGCTCCTGGAGAGCAAAACATTGCCACAATAAAATGCCACATTACAGGCACTCCTTGACTCATGATGGGGTTATGTTCCGACGAACCCACCGTAAGTCAAAAATAAATACGATATACTAACTTAATAACTATCACTGAATAAGTAAACAAATAATTACTGTGACTAACTAAATACCAGTATTGAAAATAAAATAAATGAATGCAAGTTAGGGATTTGCCACCTTCAGGCTGGGTAATTATTTTAAGTTCCATCTCCTAAGTAATTGCTTTTGCAACATCATGAAGTCAAAATATTTTAAGTCAAGGAGCACCTGTAGTTGCATCTGTCTCCTTTAACTAACATATTGTCAGTAATTCTACCAACACTATTACAAGCTTCCCTCTGTATATCCTCATGTTAAAGCCACCATTGTAAAGAGTCTGCATGTTCCAGTGCGAAGCTTCAATCTATAGTAGAACCTGCGTATCTGCGGATTCTGTTTCAGTTGTATGCAGTTTACCATGGTCCGAAAGTAATGACCCCAGAGCACAAAAGCAGTGAGGTAATTTTCACCAGCGAAAACTTGCTAATTCTTGACTTCTTGTGCATAATTTATCAATTAAACTATCACACGTATGTAAATGAATAGCAATTTATATGTAGGGTTCGCTACTATCCACAGTTTCGGGTATCCATGGTAGGTCTTGGAATTGTCCCCTGTGGATACAAGGGTCTACTGTATATACCGTCATCTTGAGCCTCCCCTGCTGGTATGTCGATGCTTTTCAACCCTGCCTGTGCTATTGAATTTTTTATTTATCTTCATCATTTATTCTACCAAGTAGCATAGCTTGGGTATGTGTGTATAATTAAGAGACGAGTGAATGTTTTACACTTATTGTAAAAGACAATCTACTCGACACTTTTTTGTTGTGTTAGATACAAGGGCACAGACACAACTAATGTAACATTTTATTGTGGCAACGTTTTTCTCTCCAGGAGCTTTGTCAAGCTGGTAATAGCTTGACAAAGCTCCTGGAGTGCGAAACATTGCCACAATAAAATGTCACACTTATGTCCTTGAACCTAACATACTGTCAGTAATTTTACCACCATTATTACCCACTTTTTTGTGTTGTGATTTATAATAAGTTTTTTTTATGTTGATCAAGCAGTCTCTACAGACACGCCCATTTATTATCATGATTTGTTTCCCTTAGTCAGTTTATGTACATATTTATCTTTGGGTTCTATATTTGGGTTAATGTTTTGGCCTTTAACCCTTAAACTGGGCATAACATGCAATGTACATTTGCCTGGGGGACTGGGCTTTATAAACATACACAAATAAATTTTAATGAGGATTTATAACTGTAGTGTAAGCATGTCTCTGGCAAGACAGTGGTGGAGTGAATGATGATGAGAGGTTTTCTTTTTCGGGTCACCCTGCCTTGGTGGGAAATGGCCGATGTGTTAATAATAAAATAATAAAAAAAATTTAAGGGCAGTGAGTTACATATACAGTGGACCCCCGGATAACGATATTTTTTCATTCCAGAAGTATGTTCAGGTGCCAGTACTGACCGAATTTGTTCCCATAAGGAATATTGTGAAGTAGATTAGTCCATTTCAGACCCCCAAACATACACGTACAAACGCACTTACATAAATACACTTACATAACTGGTCGCATTGGGAGGTGATCGTTAAGCGGGGGTCCACTGTATATATATTTTTTTTTTTCAACGAACCGACTGTCTCCCACCGAGGTAGGGTGACCTAAAAAGAAAAACAAAAGTTTCTCTTTTTAAATTTGGTAATTTATACCGGAGAAGGGGTTACTACCCCCTTGCTCACTGGAAGTTATATAATATGATCCAGATGGGTCAAAATATGCTAATGGGACAATTAACAAACTGCACAATAATATTTGTAGATGATGCAAATATTTTTTAACAAAGTATAAATCAAAATGCCTGTAAATTCCTCCACATGTGACTCACAAAATTGTAATAACACAATTGCAAACAAACCACGGAATGGATGGGATTTGAACCCATGGCAAACGAGTCGTACCAGCCTGGAGTTTTATGACTCGCTCGCTGTGGGTTCAACCCCCACCTGTTCTGTGGTTTATGAAGTACATCGGGTGAATACCTTGAATGTTATGCGGAAATTTGACATGCAGTGAATGAAAATGTACCTGTGCTTCTTGCTCCGTCTTGCAGGGTGTTTAGTGAGTTATGGTGTGACAGTGATATATTATGAGGCATAAACAGTAACTTGATAGTATTAGGGGTGTTGATATGTTGTATTTTTTAAGCTGTAGTGTCGGCACCCTTCTGGCAAGACAGTGATGATGAAAGTATTTTCTCCTTTTTACATTTAGTAATTTATACACTTTAAAGGAGGGGTTTGGGATATTGGCAGTTTGGAGGGACGTCTAAGCTGTTGTATCTGAGCGCCTCTGTGAAGACCATGATTACGTATGAGTGATGGTGAAAGTATTGAATGATGAAAGTTTTCTTTCTTTCTTTTTGGGTCACACTGCCTCGTGGGAAACAGCTGACGTGTTTAAAAAATAAAAATTTATACTGTACTGGCAATGGGGTTACATTACATGCTGCTCTCAAACATGACATCTCCCTCACAGATCATCAAACTTTCAAGTAACATCATTAAAGCCAATTCTTCATGTAGTAGCTGCAAAAACAGGTTAGACAATACAGCAAAGTGATTGGGATTGGAACCCAGTGTGGGATCACCAGCCTGTCACCTCATTCCACTACTCTTCAGCATAGCAATAAATTTTTCAGCACATAAGTTAGATAGATGTATGAATGAGAATACAGTGGACCCCTGCTTAATGATCACCTCCCAATGCGACCAATTATGTAAGTGCGTTTGTACGTGTATGTTTAGGGGTCTGAAATGGACTAATCTACTTCACAATATTCCTTATGGGAACAAATTCGCTCAGTACTGGCACCTGAACATACTTCTGGAATGAAAAAATATCGCAAACTGGGGGTCCACTGTAATTAGGTGTGAGAAGGACATACTTACCATGAGCCAGTAAGCCATCTGCAGTACTCCTCAATTCTAATGTTCTTATTTTACATATTATACTGTATAAAAACCTGCCCACCAGACTACTGGAAAAGTTCCCACTACAGTTTAAGGGTTAAAACTACACTATACACTATCTTTTTCTTGCAAATTGTTTTGATTCCTGTGTTATTGTTAAGGCGAAGAACACTTTATTATTTTACCAGTCGCATGTTGTCACTTCAGGAACAGATTCATCGGTTTCATATTTGGGAGAATCTAGTGAGAGTGTGAGCGTGTGCAGTGAGGCATCATCTTGTGTACGGCGAGAGTCTGACGTCGAAGTCATATCAAATCCATCTGTGTCTAGCATTGAAGTTCTTAATGATCAACATATTATTCATGGTTAGTAGCTAGCTACAGTTTTCTCAACCAGTTGATGGTAAAAAAATAAAACATTTAAGTTCTACGCTTTTAACCTTTGGATGGGGAGGAGAAGGGTGTGCCTTGATGCTAAGGGCTCTTGATCCAAAGAATTGTAAATACTCTCTCCTTCCTCAGATCAAACTTGTTTACTCCCATTCCCCAAACATTGTCTGACCCTTATAGGTTTGGTGCTTCCTCATGAAATTAATAATAACTTAACTTTTTTAAAACTTGCCAATATGCTCAGGGTGAAAATATTTTGAGGGAACATTGATGAATGGTATATGTTGAAAGCTGGAAAAAACATCTTACCATAGTTTTTTAGTGTACAATAACACGCCTTATAATTTTTATCGGATTTTGAGTATTTTGAGTGATCTGGATTCACACAGTCTGAAATTACCAGCCTATCACATTAGCTAAAGTAATCCCAGACTGCAGGTAAGAATTCCAGTCACTTTATTGTAGTGTTACAGTCATTGGAATTTTCAGCACATACTTATGAGAGCATAGGCAATGGGGTCGAAGAGGTATGGGGTAGGTTTAAAAATGTAGTGTTAGTGTGTTCAGCAGAAGTTTGTGGTTACAGGAAGGTGGGTGCAGGAGGGAAGAGGAGCGATTGGTGGAATGATGGTGTAAAGAGAGTAGTAAGGGAGAAAAAGTTAGCATATGAGAAGTTTTTACAAAGTAGAAGTGATGCAAGGAGGGAAGAGTATATGGAGAAAAAGAGAGAGGTTAAGAGAGTGGTGAAGCAATGTAAAAAGAGAGCAAATGAGAGAGTGGGCGAGACGTTATCAACAAATTTTGTTGAAAATAAGAAAGTTTTGGAGTGAGATTAACAAGTTAAGGAAGCCTAGAGAACAAATGGATTTGTCAGTTAAAAATAGGAGTGGAGAGTTATTAAATGGAGAGTTAGAGGTATTGGGAAGATGGAGGGAATATTTTGAGGAATTGTTAAATGTTGATGAAGATAGGGAAGCTGTGATTTCGTGTATAGGGCAAGGAGGAATAACATCTTGTAGGAGTGAGGAAGAGCCAGTTGTGAGTGTGGGGGAAGTTCGTGAGGCAGTAGGTAAAATGAAAGAGGGTAAGGCAGCCGGGATTGATGGGATAAAGATAGAAATGTTAAAAGCAGGTGGGGATATAGTTTTGGAGTGGTTGGTGCAATTATTTAATAAATGTATGGAAGAGGGTAAGGTACCTAGGGACTGGCAGAGAGCATGCATAGTTCCTTTGTATAAAGGCAAAGGGGACAAAAGAGAGTGCAAAAATTATAGGGGGATAAGTCTGTTGAGTATACCTGGTTAAATGTATGGTAGAGTTATTATTGAAAGAATTAAGAGTAAGACTGAGAATAGGATAGCAGATGAACAAGGAGGCTTTAGGAAAGGTAGGGGGTGTGTGGACCAGGTGTTTACAGTGAAACATATAAGTGAACAGTATTTAGATAAGGCTAAAGAGGTTTTTGTGGCATTTATGGATTTGGAAAAGGCGTATGACAGGGTGGATAGGGGGGGCAATGTGGCAGATGTTGCAGGTGTATGGTGTAGGAGGAAGGTTACTGAAAACAGTGAAGAGTTTTTATGAGGATAGTGAGGCTCAAGTTAGAGTATGTAGGAAAGAGGGAGATTATTTCCCAGTAAAACTAGGCCTTAGACAAGGATGTGTGATGTCACCGTAGTTGTTTAATATTTATAGATGGGGTTGTAAGAGAAGTAAATGCGAGGGTCTTGGCAAGAGGCGTGGAGTTAAAAGATAAAGATTCACACATAAAGTGGGAGTTGTCAGAGTTGCTCTTTGCTGATGACACTGTGCTCTTGGGAGATTCTGAAGAGAAGTTGCAGAGGTTGGTAGATGAATTTGGTAAGGTATGCAAAAGAAGAAAATTAAAAGTGAATACAGGAAAGAGTAAGGTTATGAGGATAACAAAAAGATTAGGTGATGAAAGATTGGATATCTGTTTGGAGGGAGAGTATGGAGGAGGTGAATGTATTCAGATATTTGGGAGTGGACGTGTCAGCGGATGGGTCTATGAAATTTCATGATGAGGTGAATCATAGAATTGATGAGGGGAAAAGGGTGAGTGGTTCTCTTACGAGTCTGTGGAGACAAAGAACTTTGTCCTTGGAGGCAAAGAGGGGAATGTATGAGAGTATAGTTTTACCAACGCTCTTATATGGATGTGAAGCATGGGTGATGAATGTTGCAGTGAGGAGAAGGCTGGAGGCAGTGGAGATGTCATGTCTGAGGGCAATGTGTGGTGTGAATATAATGCAGAGAATTCGTGGTTTGGAAGTTAGGAGGAGGTGTGGGATTACCAAAACTGTTGTCCAGAGGGCTGAGGAAGGGTTGTTGAGGTGGTTTGGACATGTAGAGAGAATGGAGCGAAACAGAATGACTTCAAGAGTGTATCAGTCTGTAGTGGAAGGAAGGCGGGGTAGGGGTCAGCCTAGGAAAGGTTGGAGGGAGGGGGTAAAGGAGGTTTTGTGTGCGAGGGGCTTGGACTTCCAGCAGGCATGCATGAGCGTGTTTGATAGGAGTGAATGGAGACAAATGGTTTTTAATACTTGACGTGCTGTTGGAGTGTGAGCAAAGTAACATTTATGAAGGGATTCAGGGAAACCGGCAGGCCGGACTTGAGTCCTGGAGATGGGAAGTACAGTGTCTGCACTCTGAAGGAGAGGTGTTAATGTTGCAGTTTAAAAAACTGTAGTGTAAAGCACCCTTCTGGCAAGACAGTGATGGAGTGAATGATCTTGAAAGTCTTTCTTTTTCGGGCCACCCTGCCTTGGTGGGAATCAGCCAGTGTGTTAATAAAAAAAAATAAATAATAACTTATGTATTTTGAGTCAGTCTTTTGCTATAGTACTGTCCTTAAGTATAAAATAATCAGTTGTGAATTCTTATTACTATTACTGCACGTGCTCATATTCCCAACATTACATGTTAAACTGTCGGTTTTCATACCAAGTAATTGCCACGACCTGTTATGTCAAATGTGGCTCGCTGCTCGGAATATAGTAACCCTTTTGCTACGTAATTTTGGTATATAGTATGTAGAATGTTGATTAATGAAAGTGTAATGAACACATGTCAGTGCTCAGTTGTAACCCACATGGTGACAGAAATACAGGAGGTTGATTGATCTGTATATTTCGACCCCCTTCTGGGGTCCTCTTCAGCAGATCTGCTGACGAGGACCCCAGAATGGGGTCAAAATATACATGTCAATCAACTTCCTATGTTTTTGTCTCAACATGGGTTATTATTGAGCATCTAATGTGTTATTCGTAAACTTCGTCTGCACAGTTTGAATGTACCCCCATGACTGTTGATGATTGTTCTCTCTATTCTGACATTCAATAATTCTTGGGCTAAGCTCCGTTGAAGGGAACAAGGGTACCTTGTTGCTGGTGAAGGCATTACAGCTGCTCTTCCTTGGATCAAACCTCTTTACCTCCCATTCCTCATGTGCTGTACAACCCCAATGTGTATAGCATTTCCCCATGAATCTAATAGAGTAATTTAGTTAACCCCGTCATTGTATATACAAGTACAATACACGAATGTAAAGAAACCATGCTGTGTCTGCTGCTTTTAATATTTTTTTTTTTTTTTTTTTTTTTCCATTGCAGCCACTTACTGTCAACATGGGGTACATTTGGTATCGTACATGTAATCTTAAAACTAAAAATTGACTTAAAAAATAAAAAAAAAAAATTTCTGGCAGTACCTGCCCAAAATTCTGTTATGTAACAAAAGGGTTAAATTTATTTATCTTTAGCGTTTTTTAATGTCGTAAGTTCCATTCTCCTATGTGGGGGTTATTTATGCATTGTTCCAGTCAGTATTGTGCCATTTTACTCTTTTTTTAACATGTTTATAAATGTGTTGATGTTGTGACTTGTAACTCTGTAACAGTTTTGTGTAGGCAAAATACCTTCACGTTTCCACGAGAGGCTTGTAATTCTTATTGCTCATGTTAATGTAAATGTGAAGATTTTACTAGTAATCAGATATGTTGTTTTCTTAATATTGGTGTACGAACTATATTTTGTGCATAGTAGAGACTCGTAAGATGTCTAGCAGTGTTGGGATACTCATGGCTTCACTCTTTTGTGTCAGCTCTTGGAACTGAAAAAACTAAGTTGTTCTAATTATTTTCCTTTCTCCCCCTGCCTATTTTTATTTCTTTCTCTTTTTCTCTTATTTATTATCTGGCTTAAAGAACAGGGTAAGTGATATTGTTGATAAAAAATTAACCAACAGATATTATTTTAGAAGAGGAAGGTGATGAGGGGAGGGTACCGTCAGTTGCCACTGTCAACACTGATGCTCGCACTCCGGCCAACTCTCCGATCATCGCACAGAAGCAGGACCCAGCCCCCTGTATGCAAGAGAGCAGCTCCTCAGGTATTAGACTCGATGAAGGCAACATGATGACAAGTCACGTTGCTGTGGGGTGCCTAATTTACGAAGGAGTTGCATTTTCAATGTTTCAACTTGCAAACAAGTCATTTGTAGTCCAGAATGTGTTATTCTATGTTAATACGAAGGATATGGGTCACGTGTTCGTAATTGTAGACTGGCATTCATAAATTAATTAGTTTCTCAACATTGTCTTCTACACCTTGTTTGTGAGTGCATATCTTTGTAACTGGTGTTCGTAAGTTAGGAACCCTCCTCTTTCAGTATAGATACTCTTCTCAACGGAGATTCATACACAGATACAGAAATGAGCAAAAAAAATTAAAAAAAACAAAACAATGTGAATCATTGTTCAGCAATCCAGTCGACACCAAGAGTTGTAGACTCGGATAATTTCTTCAACACGGCCCACCTACAAATTATCTTCCTAACATTAGCACAAATCCTTCAGACATTGAAAAAGAAAGACAACTTGGCCATGTACAGTATGCAGCACCTGGACCTGATTCCTGGAATTTAGTACAGTGGACCCCCGGTTAACGATATTTTCTCGCTCCAGAAGTATGTTCAGGTGCCAGTACTGACCGAATTTGTTCCCATAAGAAATATTGTGAAGTAGATTAGTCCATTTCAGACCCCCAAACATACACGTACAAACGCACTTACATAAATACACTTACATAATTGGTCGCATTCGGAGGTAATCGTTATGCGGGGGTCCACTGTATTTGTAAAGAAATGCAAAATAGTACTAGCACAAATATACAGTGTTTTTTGAGGAGAACTTGGGTTCAAGTGAAATTTCAAAGGCCTCAAGAATTGCAGTCATAGACTCTGCTCACAGTGGAAGCAGCAGAGCTGTGACAAAAATTACAGACCAGTAACTGTTATATCACCCTTTATAGAAGTCTCTGAAGCATTGCTGACATGCCAGCTTAATGTTTTTATGGATAAACATGATCTACACAACCCAGGTCATCGTTGATTTAGATCAGGGGCACCGTAGACAATAAGAGAGCACTGTTAACATCCATGACTCAAGACTATTCAACCTACTACCAACAGTTATCAGAAATATTGCCGCAAGAAATGTAGAAATTTACTAGAGGAAACTGAATCACTGCCTCCACTGGGTGCCAGATCAACCAGGCTGTGATGGCTTTGTGAACCATCAGGCAGCTAAAAGCAAGCTCCTGCTTGAACAGTCACTAAACATGAAAGCTTGGCCAAAGGCTGGGCTGGTAGGGCAGAAAAGCCCTCAAAATTAGTCACAGGCCTAGTCATGGACCAGACCACTGAGGCGTTGATCCCCAGAACACTCTCCTGGTATACTCCCTCTAGGTATATCAATGGTTGTATGACCCTTATGGATTAGTGCATCCATCATGATTATAATAATAATAATAACAATGATAATACAGTAGATCACAGCTTATCTGGCCCCTTGAGGGCACTAGATTTTCAACCTTATTGATTCTTTGTATTGCATATTTTTCTTTCACATTATGTACTGCATCAGACAAGACCTCTGAATAATGTGCGATGCTAAGTATCTGATTGGCGGGTAATCAGTGATCTCATAAATTAGACATGTGTAACACTTGGGGTGTCTTTACTGTGGAAACTCTTTGCTACACATTGTCTTCATCAGTCCAATACAAAGAATGGTGAAGATCAGAAGGAGTTTGAAGTAATCAGTCCCTCAATCTTGAATAGATTGAAGCCATTGTTTGGTGAAATGGTTCCACAATGAAGATACCCAAGCGGTGTATGTGTCTTAATTTATCAATCTGTCGGTTCTCTGAACCATATATCTACAATCAGTGATCTGCTGTAATCATAATCAGGGGCGGATCTACTATGAAATTAATGCAGCTTAAGCGTCAGGGCCTGTAATCCCAGAGGGGCCCCAGAAGTGACTTCAGTCCACATTGCTTAAAAATTTTGGGTCTGCTGTATGAGAAGGGTTTGCAAAGGGGCCCCCCATAACAGTTCAAGCTTCAGAGCCCCAAAAATGTAGCTCCGCCACTGATCATAATATGTGTTGTGCTGCATACTAACCCCTAAACCTGATGGTGGTGCATCCCTTCAGGTTCCATGACAGGGAGCGTATGTACGACTTATGAGAAGACTGGATCGCTTCCCACCTCTCCTCTCAAGACCAGTATCCAGCAACACATGCACACAGACACAGTCGACTCTAAATGTAACACTAAGGAGACCAGCAGTGGTAGGCAGAAATATTTTGTCGTACAGTAAATCCTAGACTTATAAACACGTCGAGAATTTTCTGTATTGTGTATAATATTATACACAATAATGATATAAACAGTACTGAAGATTCTCAACGTGTTGAGTCAAGGATTTACTGTATTCGTATTTTGTTTGCACCACAATACTCTTTCTTAACACTTATGTTTCTCTATGCATCATTTAATATTTATTTGATTATTAACCCTTAAACTGTCCAAACGTAGATCTACATTTGCGCATGTAGCGCTCCGGCCTTGATTTTCTCACTAAGAAAGAGTGTAAAAAAACGTAGATCTACGTTTGGACAGTTAGAGGGTTAAAGAAATTAATTACTATATTGTATCTGTGCTCCTCTGGCAAGACAGTGATAGTGTGAATGATGGTGAAAGGGTTTCTCTTTTGGGTTGCCCTGCCTTGGTGGGAGACGGCCAGAGTGTTAAAAAAATTACCATATTAAAAGTCACTGACTACAAAATTAATAATCTCACTCAAATGCAGCAGTAACATTATCAGTGTATCATTAAAATTAAAATAAAATGAAAGGTTGATCAATATAGGGTGCATAAATTTGGGGGCAGAGGATATTCCAAGCAGGTTGGTAAGGTGGTGGTTTTAAAAAGCAGGGGCTTAAGCATCCAGCAGGCATGTTTGAGCATGTTAAATTGGAGTGAGTGAAGACTAGCGATTTTGAGGATTTGATATGCTGTTGGAATGTGAGAAAGGTAATATCTATGAAGGGATTCCAGAAAACTGGTTACCAGAGGGCAGTGCCTGCCCTCTGTACTTTCCACCTCTAGAATTGTACAATTCTTGAGGTATAAAATAGTACAATTCTAGAAATACAAAATATTACAATAGTACTACATTGTACTGTATGATTCCAGTGTTTGTCCAGCCGATATTTTTGTCCAAAATTGTCGAAGTTCACTAATGAGAGGTTTAACAGTACAGTATTGCCATTAATATACCCTTATCTCAATTATTTTCCTGTGTGTTTTCAGTAGTTCTAATTCATATACAGTTTTCTTATTTATAAATTATATTATATGAAACAGTTTAGGGGTAAAAAACCAGGACTGCTGTCCTCAGTCGCCTCCAGGGCCATGGAATCATGTTTACATTTTTTTTTTATCTTCATACAGATATGTCAGGTGATTTGTATCAAACAGCCGAGTCATCACTGCAGGTGACGCTGGAGGGAACTTCACCCTCATCGCCGGGTAACTCGCCTCATCTCAGCTCAAGTAGTGCCAGTATAGGTAAATTTATCTTCATCCTCATGACCCTTGTGGGTTTAGCAGGCAGTTTTGATTGTAATAATAATAATAGTGTGGGCACTCCTCTCTCCCTGCACATGAAGCAGGGAGAGTGGACCTAGTGGCGACCAGTGAAGAGGTGGGGCCAGAAGCTATGACTCGATCCCTGCAACCACAATTAATTGAGTACAGCGGAGTGAGTGATGATCAAAGTGTTTCTTCTTCTTTTTCGGGTCATCCTGCCTCAGGGGAAAACGGCCAGTTCTTTAAAAAGAAAAAATCACATATGCCATATGTGAGGTAATGGTAGTTAGGTTGTAGACTGGGCAAGAAGAAGCCGTTAAAAATACAGTGGAACCTCAAAAATCGAACTGCTCCCAACACGACCAATTATGTAAGTGTATTTTTGTAAGTGCTTTTATAAGTGTATTTTTGAGGGTCTGAAATGGACTAATCTAATTTACATTATTCCTGATGGGAATAAATTCATTCGGTAAAGGCACTCGAACAGCCTTCTGGACCGAAGAAAGTTCGATATTTGAGGTTCCACTGTATAGATTTTTTGTGTGTGAGAAAGATGGTAGTCTGTACTTAGATCTTCTTACAACAAACCAGCTGTATCCCACTAAAACAGGGTGGCCCAAAAAGAAACACAAAAGTTTCTCTTTAAATTTAGTAATTTATACAGAAGGTGTTACAAGCCCCTTGCTCCCAGCATTTTAGTCGCCTCTTACGACACGCATGGCTTAAGGAGGAGGAATTCTGCTCTACTTCCCCATATATTGCAGAAATTTAGAGTATAATGTAAAGGCTACAAGCCAAACATTTATTGGAGTGTGTTTCACCCAATTATGAGGTGTATCAAAACCTGCTGAGCAACAAAATGCTACAAGTTTATTTAGGTATACATAAGTACAGTTAGGGACTTGCCACCTTCATTCTGGGTAATTATCTCAAGTTTCATCTCCAAAGTAATTGCTTTTACACCATCGTACAGTCAAAATATCGTAAGTCAAACCATGGTAAGTCAGGAAGCACCTGTAATTTAAATTGTGATATCTAGGACATTCTGTGAAAACAGCTAGAAAATGAGTGATGGCGAATGTGTTTTCTTCTCTATTTCTCCCCACAATATTGGGACTGACAGTATATTAAAAAAAATATGCTAGAATTGATCTAACATGGAAATGACACAATAACACATGCCCTTTACATTTTGACAGATACCATAAAAAATGGCACATCAACCCTTTCTCTTCACCACAAAGCTGTAATGACGAGTATCCACGATGATGCAGGACCTCGTAATATATCATCCTGGGTTCAGTCTCTCTTGCATACACTTACTGGTGAGTATCATCCTGGGTTCAGTCTCTTGCATACACTTACTGGTGAGTATCATCCTGGGTTCAGTCTCTCTTGCATACACTTACTGGTGAGTATCATCCTGGGTTCAGTCTCTCTTGCATACACTTACTGGTGAGTATCATCCTGGGTTCAGTCTCTTGCATACACTTACTGGTGAGTATCATCCTAGGTTCAGTCTCTTGCATACACTTACTGGTGAGTATCATCCTAGGTTCAGTCACTTGCATACACTGACTGGTGAGTATCATCCTAGGTTCAGTCACTTGCATACACTGACTGGTGATTATCATCCTAGGTTCAGTCACTTGCATACACTGACTGGTGAGTATCATCCTGGGTTCAGTCTCTCTTGCATACACTTACTGGTGAGTATCATCCTGGGTTCAGTCTCTCTTGCATACACTTACTGGTGAGTATCATCCTGGTTCAGTCTCTCTTGCATACACTTACTGGTGAGTATCATCCTGGGTTCAGTCTCTCTTGCATACACTTACTGGTGAGTATCATCCTGGGTTCAGTCTCTCTTCCATACACTTACTGGTGAGTATCATCCTGGGTTCAGTCTCTCTTGCATACACTTACTGGTGAGTATCATCCTGGGTTCAGTCTCTCTTGCATACACTTACTGGTGAGTATCATCCTGGGTTCAGTCTCTCTTGCATACACTTACTGGTGAGTATCATCCTGGGTTCAGTCTCTCTTGCATACACTTACTGGTGAGTATCATCCTGGGTTCAGTCTCTCTTGCATACACTTACTGGTGAGTATCATCCTGGGTTCAGTCTCTCTTGCATACACTTACTGGTGAGTATCATCCTGGGTTCAGTCTCTCTTGCATACACTTACTGGTGAGTATCATCCTGGGTTCAGTCTCTCTTGCATACACTTACTGGTGAGTATCATCCTGGGTTCAGTCTCTCTTGCATACACTTACTGGTGAGTATCATCCTGGGTTCAGTCTCTCTTGCATACACTTACTGGTGAGTATCATCCTGGGTTCAGTCTCTCTTGCATACACTTACTGGTGAGTATCATCCTGGGTTCAGTCTCTCTTGCATACACTTACTGGTGAGTATCATCCTGGGTTCAGTCTCTCTTGCATACACTTACTGGTGAGTATCATCCTGGGTTCAGTCTCTCTTGCATACACTTACTGGTGAGTATCATCCTGGGTTCAGTCTCTCTTGCATACACTTACTGGTGAGTATCATCCTGGGTTCAGTCTCTCTTGCATACACTTACTGGTGAGTATCATCCTGGGTTCAGTCTCTCTTGCATACACTTACTGGTGAGTATCATCCTGGGTTCAGTCTCTCTTGCATACACTTACTGGTGAGTATCATCCTGGGTTCAGTCTCTCTTGCATACACTTACTGGTGAGTATCATCCTGGGTTCAGTCTCTCTTGCATACACTTACTGGTGAGTATCATCCTGGGTTCAGTCTCTCTTGCATACACTTACTGGTGAGTATCATCCTAGGTTCAGTCACTTGCATACACTGACTGGTGAGTATCATCCTAGGTTCAGTCACTTGCATACACTGACTGGTGAGTATCATCCTAGGTTCAGTCTCTCTTGATACATTGACTGGTAAGTCAATGAATACAAGTTATGGACTTGCAACCTTCATGCTGGGTAATTATCTCAAGTTTCATCTCCATTGTAATTGCTTTTGCACCGTTGTGAAGTCGAGGAGCACTTGTACAGGTAATTGAAATATCCAGTTGAGTGGTTTTATTTTTTTTTTTTATGGTCACTTTTCATTGATAGTTTCCTTAGCATATTTTGCAGTCTCTCTCTTATCAGCTTTTTCTTACCATTGGTTATTATTATTATTCTTTGAACATTTTCACTTAATATATGGACATTATTTGTTTCTGTTTTTCTCTAGGTTACTATTGGCTCTGGTGGGTGGAGGTGGCAGAAGTAGAGGGCATTGAAAGGATTTCAAATCCCATCCGATACTCATACGAAGACTTTACTGATGTTGACCACCGCCTGAAGCTGCACTGTGAAGTTCTTCTCTTCCACGAGCCGGGGGAAAATCTTCTGGGACTAGTTAAGGTCGGGATCAGTTAGAGTATTAAAAAAATTATTAAGAATTAAGGTGTCAAATAATATTCTGATGTGTAAATGATTTAAAAGCCTTCAGATTAATTTTTTATTTTTTATTTTTAATCATATCTCCAAAAATTCCTAGGTAGTAGGTTGGTAGACAGCAACCGCCCAGGGAGGTACTACCGTCCTACCAAGTGAGTGTAAAACGAAAGCCTGTAATTGTTTTACATGATGGTAGGATTGCTGGTGCCCTCTTTTCTGTCTCATAAACATGCAAGATATCAGGTACGTCTTGCTACTTCTAATTACACTTAGGTCACACTACACATACATGTACAAGCATATATATACACACCCCTCTGGGTTTTCTTCTATTTTCTTTCTAGTTCTTATTCTTGTATATTTCCTCTTATCTCCATGGGGAAGTGGAACAGAATTCTTTCTCCGTAAGCCATGTGTGTTGTAAGAGGCGACTAAAATGCCGGGAGCAAGGGGCTAGTAACCTCTTCTCCTGTATATATTACTAAATGTAAAAGGAGAAACTTTCGTTTTTCCTTTTGGGCCACCCCGCCTCGGTGGGATACGGCCGGTGTGTTGAAAGAAAGAAAAAGATCTCCAAAAATTATTATAACATTAACTCCATTTTTCTAACTACTCTTGAAGTTAAGATTTATTTTTTTCATTTTAACCCTTTGACTGTTTTGGTCGTATACATACATCTTACGAGCCACCATTTTTGACGTATACATACGTACTCATAAATTCTAGCGGCTTTAAATCAAGCAGGAGAAAGCTGGTAGGCCCACATGTGAGAGAATGGATCTGTGTAGTCAGTGTGCACCATATAAAAAAAATTCTACAGCAAGCAGCGTATAATGAGAAAAAAAACTGACTTTTTTTTTTTTTTTTTTTTTTTTTTTTTTTTTTAATTAAAATGCCAGCTTTGTGGTCTAATTTCGTATAGTATTTATGGTTGTATTCTCGTTTTCTTGGTCTCATTTGATAGAATAGAAAACATGTTATAGAAACAGAGGTGATTTTGATTGATTTTACTATAAAAGAACCTAGAAATGGAGCTCAAAGTAGGGGAAATGTTTGATTTTTGCCAATGTTCAAAAGTAAACAAATGATGCCATTGTCCAATAAATGTCCAACTAGCCATTCTAATATGCAGTCATGAATGGGTTGATGTTATTTATACAATTATTACAGTATTGCAGTAGTCTGCATAACAGAAAATCTTCTATTTTTTGTTTGAATAAAAATTCAAAATAGAAAGCAAGAGTAATATCAGAGGGGCCTGGAGACGTGACTGATGAACAAAGAAAATGTTATTTTAGAGCCAGGAATGTCTGCATTGTTCATTCTGGACCTTATTTTGAAATTATATTTTTTAATTTTCATGAAATTGGCCAAATTGCAAATTTATGACCACGTTATTGGGTAGTTGAAATCGGTAAATGGGCAGTTTCTTGTACTCAATCGATAGAGAAAATGGGGCTCTGAAGAAATAGCTATGGGTTTGGTCGACTGGAACAATGGAATTAGCCGAAAATAGGGCTCAAAGTGGGTGAAATCGCTGATTCGTAATTATTGCCGAGGTCGCTAACTTCGCAAGAGTGTAATTCCATCAGTTTTCCATCAAATTTCGTTCTTCTGGTGTCATTACAATTGGGAAAAGATTCTCTATCATTTCATAAGATTTTTTTTTTTTTTTTTTTTTTTTTTCTTTTTCTTTTTCAGAAATTTTGCGACATCAGGAGACACCTCAGGATTTGGGGTTGCAACAGTCAAGGGGTTAAATCTTAATTTAAGATCTTTCAATTAATACTTAATTTTCACTTAAATTTATAATGTGTAATTTTATAAACAATGTTCGGCACAATTTGTATTCTTGCACTGTTATTAGTCCTTGCTTAACCCGTAAACGGTCCAAACGTATATATACGTTCTCTCCCGTAGTGCCCCAACTTTTTTGAGAAAAAAAAAATCTTTTTTTTTTTAACCCGTAAACGGTCCAAGCAGATCTACATTCACACGTGTAGCGCTACAAAAGTAGATCTACGTTTTTTTTATATATTTTCAAATATAACAAAAAAAAAAGTAGATCAAAGTTTTTTTTACATTTTCAAATGTAAAAAAACTAAAAGATCTACTTTTTTTTACATACTTTCAAATGTTGAAAAAACGTATACGTACGTTTGGACCGTTTACGGGTTAATAGGAAAAAAGAGCATATGGTACCCAGGCATCCCCAATTATTTTAATATGGCGCACAGTGAGTGTGCACACCCATTCTATATTCATTGTATATTCAACTCCAACTTTAATATTATCCTGTGTACCATCTTATTATCATATTATAACCAGGTCATTGACATTTTTATTTTTTATTTTCTTTTGCTACCTCAACTTGTGTATTTTGTCTTGTCAAATTAAATTTAGTTATACTCTAGTTCTTGTTAACAACTTACATTAGAGCTTAGTGCAATTACAAGTGAGAGTCTTGTGCCATTTTAAACTAGTATTTTTTATATTATTAGATTAAACCTAGTTGTACTATAGCTCATTCTAGCTCAATACATAGACAACACCAAATTCATTATATTAGACCTTAGTGCAATTACAAGTGAGAGTCTGGTGCTATTTTTAATTTGTATTTTTATATTTTTAGTGTATACTTAGTTGTACTTTACCTCATTCTAGCACAACACATAGACAATATCAACTTCATTATGTTTATTATTGACTATACTCTATATGACCAAAGTGCTTTAGCTATATACTTGTCCAAATTTTCCACTACTACAGATATCAGTATTAGAACTCACCGCATAATACAGGATATAAATAACCACTATTTAAACCTAGAAGATGAATGATCATGTCGACCCTGATATAAACCTCCACAATATAACACCCAATCAAACCCTACTGGAAAGTAACTGCCTTTATTACACAGCATCACAAGCCAGCACTATCCTAAACACTGCTCAAAGTCTATCAGTTCTTAACTACAACATCAGGTCCTTAAGCAAACACTATGATGACCTCCTGGCACTCCTTGAGTCACTAAAGGCACCCTTCTTCTGCATTATTCTTACTGAGACCTGGCTTAAGCAGGACACAATTGATATCTACCTACTACCAGGATACACAGCAATCCACAACTGCAGACCATACCAAGTTGAGGGTGGTATTGCAATCTATTACTCCAACCAACTATCTTGTATTAGCACCGCTTGCTTTAGTGATGAATATGGGGAATACATTTTTGCTAATTTTACTGTAAAAAAACTTTAAGACGCCTATAACAATCGGTGCCATTTACCGGATACCCCACACAAACATCCCAAATTTCAGTGAGAAATTAAAGGCACTAATAACAAACAGACAAATGAACAAGCACCACCTTCTCTTAGCTGGAGACTTCAATATCAACCTTGACCTACTAGATGATCAGCCTGTAACTGATTTCATCAACAATATGAACAACACACTTCTCATACCAACAATAACTAAACCAACCAGGCTCACTGAGACAAGTGCAACCATAATAGACCACATATGGACCAATATACTAGCCCCCCTTAAATCAGGGATAATCACAGATAGTACTACAGACCACTACCCTACCTTCCTCTTGACAAACATTAGTAAACCACCACTTGAATACAACAAAGTTTCATTTAGACTCCATGACGAGGCCTCAATAAGGAAGTTCACAGCAGACCTAGAGACTGTTGATTGGCCTACAGAATTCTCCCAAGGCCAATGGTATTGATGACTGGACAGACATTTTTCTTAACAAATTACTTAGGCTATACAACAAACATTGTCCTATAAAAACGAAACAGATCCCGAATAAACGGCTCGGTTGCCCATGGCTAACCAGCAGCATTCTGAAATCCATTGATAAGAAACACCAATATGAAAAGCAATATAGACAGGGCTTAATACACAAAGATATTCTCAAACACTATTCATCAGTTCTCACCAAAGTAATAAAGAAAGCTAAACAACTATACTACTCCAGCAGATTCACTGACACTAGAGGAGATATAAAAAAGACCTGGAAAACACTCTCTCAGATTCTGGGCACCCACAAACTGAAAAAAAACAAGAATATTGTCCTAACTAAACCTAATGAAACACCACTGCATCTCACTGATACAGCTAACAAGATAAACGACTTCTTCTCAGCCATAGGATCTAATCTTGCCAGTAAAATCCCACGTACCAACGCCCATGCTGGGGACTCTCTAGATGGGAATTTCCCAAATTCCTTCTGTCTTGTACCAACTGAGCCCACCGAAGTCACTGAGATTATAAAGTCATGTAAAAATAACTCAGGGAACCTGTCTCATGTCCCACCATTATTGTACAAGCGAGCGGCCCATGTCCTCTCGCATGCTATTTCATTACTTTTTAACAAGTCAATAGAGACTAGCACCTTCCCGAAACTACTCAAGATGGCAAGAGTTACACCAATACATAAAGGTGGTGACCCTACAGACTTAAACAACTATAGGCCAATATCAAACTTACCATTACTATCCAAAATCTTTGAGAAACTCGTGCACAGGAGACTGTATTCATTTATAACGGCTCAAAACATACTCAACCCCTGCCAGTTTGGATTCAGGAAAAATAAAAGCACTAATGATGCAATCATAAAAATGCTAGATTTGCTTTACACAGCATTGGAAAATAAGGAATATCCACTAGGAATTTTTATTGACCTAAGAAAAGCTTTTGACACAGTAGACCACGACATCCTACTCCACAAACTTGATCACTACGGTATAAGAGGCCATGCGCTTGCTTATTTAAAATCTTACCTTACTAATAGGTATCAGTATGTCACCATTAAAGACACAGCATCAACAACACGGCCACTTGATACTGGAGTTCCGCAGGGAAGTGTCCTTGGTCCCCTGCTCTTCCTCATATACATCAGTGATCTTCCAAACGTATCCCAACACCTGAAACCCATTCTCTTTGCTGACGACACGACTTATGTCATCTCTCACCCTAATCTTGCCACCCTCAACACCATTGTTAATGAGGAGCTGCTCAAAATATCAACTTGGATGACAGCCAATAAACTTACACTTAACACAGACAAAGCCTACTATGTTATGTTTGGTAGCAGAGCAGGTGCTGCACAACTAAACATTAAGATTGACAGCACTCTAATTACCAGACATAATGAGGGCAAATTCCTAGGCCTATACCTCGACAACAACCTGAATTTCAGCACCCATATCCAACACATATCAAAAAAAGTATCCAAAACAGTTGGGATCCTCTCCAAGATATGATACTACATGCTGCAAAATGCCCTTCTCACACTATACCATTCACTCATTTATCCATACCTCACCTATGCTATTTGTGCTTGGGGTTCAACTGCAGCAATACACCTAAAGCCAATAATAACTCAAAAAGCCGCAGTAAGAATAATCGCTAAATCCCATCCCTGGCAACACACCCCCCCACTCTTCATAGATCTAAACTTACTCCCTGTTCAGAACATCCACACTTATTACTGTGCAATCTATATATACAAGACCTTAAATTCCAATATTAACCTTGACCTAAAATGCTTTCTTGATAGTTGTGACAGGACCCACAAGCATAACACCAGACACAAACATCTCTAGGACATTCCCCATGTCCGACTAAATCTATACAAAAATTCAGTGTATGTCAAAGGCCCTAAAATCTGGAACACCCTACCTGAAAACTCTAGAACTGCAAACACATTCATCACCTTCAAAACTACTGTTAGAAAACATCTTATCTCCCTGATACACCTCGACAACTAACTATATAAAAACCACCTGGTGGTTCACACTTACACTCACTCACTCACCCATTTGACTATAAGCACAGAGATATGTATCTTAATCCTAAAATAATGATTCCTAACTAGTCACAAGTTTGCCTGTGATACTCCAATATAGAAACTACGTATTGTGCCAAAACAAAAGCATTCACAATGCTAAACTCACAAACTAGTACAGTGGTCCCTCGTTGTTCGTAATTAATCCGTTCCTGGAGCCGTTACTATAAATGAAATTTACGATTTACGAATCAATTTTCCCCATAAGAAATAATGTAAATACAATTAATCCGTTCCTGACACCCAGGAGTATTAAAACAAAAAAATTTTTTTAACATGAAATATACATGTAGTACATAAACAATACAATGGGAAATGATGAATGAAACATTAACAGCATAACACTTACCTTTATTGGAGATTCTTCTTAGTGTATGGGAGACTGGAGGAGGAGAGAGAGTGGATTGTTTATAGTTTGGAAGGGTAATCCCCTTCCATCAACACCTCAGGTACCATTTGCTTTTCTGGGGTTGCTTCTCTTCTCTGTTTCTTAATGCCACTAGGACCACCTTGAGAGTCACTGGAGTCCTGTCTCACAAAATAACTGTGGAGAGAGCTCTGTTTCTGGCATCTCTTTAACACTTCCCTAAAATGGCCCAAGGCTTTGTCACTGTACATGTTGCCAACCTGGCTTGCAACAACCTTGTTAGGGTGATGTTTCTCCATAAAGCTTTCCATCTTACCCCACATAGTAAAAATCTCTTTAATTTCTGAAAAAGGCACCATCTTCCATCTCTCTTCCTCCTCCTCTGCTCTTCCTGCTGAAGCTCTTCCAGCTCCTCAGTGGTGAGCTCTTCATTGTGGTCTTCCACCAATTCTTCCACATCCTCCAAACTCACATCCAACCCCATGGAACTCCCCAGTGCCACAATTGATTTTACAACAGACATAGGCTCATTAGGGTCAGTCCCAAATCCTTCAAAATCCCTCTTGTCGACACAATCTGGCCACAATTTTCTCCAGGCAGAGTTCAGAGTCCTGGTAGTCACTCCCTCCCAAGCCATACCTATAAGGGTTATGCAGTGGAGGATGCTGAAGTGTTCTCTCCAAAATTCCCTTAGAGTCAAGTGAGTGTCTGTGGTCACAGTCAAGCACCTGTGAAACATTGCTTTTGTGTAGAGTTTTTTAAAGTTTGCAATAGCCTGCTGGTCCATGGGTTGGAGGAGAGGAGTGGTATTCGGGGGCAAGAACTTTACTGTGATGAACCCAAACTCCTCGAAAATTAGGTCATCCAAGTTTGGAGGATGAGCAGGTGCATTGTCCATTACTAGCATGCACTTGAGATCCAATTTCTTTTCCAGGAGATACTCCTTCACACTAGGGCCAAACACTTCATTGAACCACTCGACAAAAATTTCCCTCGTGACCCATGCCTTACTATTAGATTTCCAAAACACACACAATTTACTCTTCATAACATTGTTTTTCCTGAACACTCTGGGATTTTCAGAATGGTACACTAGTAACGGCTTCACTTTGAAATCCCCACTAGCATTAGCACAGAACATTAGCGTCAGCCTGTCTTTCATAGGCTTGTGTCCTGGCATTGCCTTTTCCTCTTGTGTAATGAAGGTCCTCTTTGGCATTTTCTTCCAAAAGAGGCATTTTGTCACAATTGAACACTTGTTCAGGTTTCAGTCCTTCACTGTTTATATACTCCTGGAATTCATGCACATATTTTTCAGCCGCCTTGTGGTCCGAACTGGCAGCCTCACCATGCCTTACCACACTGTGTATGCCAGTACGGTTCTTAAATCTCTCAAACCAGCCTTTGCTGGCCTTAAATTCACTCGCTTCACCACTATTTGCAGGCAATTTCTTTACCAAATCTTCATGCAACTGCCTAGCCTTTTCACAAATAAACGAAGTCATAAGAGTATCTCCTGCTAATTGTTTCTCATTTATCCACACGAATAATAACTTCTCAACCTCTTCCAGTACTGGTGATCTCATTTTTGTCAGCGTAGTTACTCCCTTTGCAACATCAGCATCCTTTATTTCATTTTTCTTGGCCACTATGGAACATAAGGTTGTGTAGGGTTTCTTATACATCCTGAACAGTTCGGCCACACTTGTACCACTTTCATATTGTTCAATGATGGTTTTCTTAAATTCAATCGTATTTCTCACCTTCTTTACCACAGGCTTGGCACTAGGAGCTTTCTTTGGAGCCATGGTAGCTTATTTAGTACAGTGGACCCCCGGTTAACGATATTTTTTCACTCCAGAAGTATGTTCAGGTGCCAGTACTGACCAAATTTGTTCCCATAAGGAATATTGTGAAGTAGATTAGTCCATTTCAGACCCCCAAACATACACGTACAAACGCACTTACATAAATACACTTACATAATTGGTCGCATTCGGAGGTGATCGTTATGCGGGGGTCCACTGTACTTGCAAGCACTAAAATAAATGGAATATTATGAAATATTTCGCTGGAGCACATGAGGGGACCTTCGCTCACTGGTAAACAATGCCAGACTGGCTGCCGCCCTGACTCACGCTGTGCGTACGCGTCCCAGACGAACTACGATTCGCGAGTCAACCTATGAAAAGCGAGTCCATGTTTATACGAAAGTACCCCTAGGATTGGTGAATTTTATGATTGCCGGGAACTACGAAAAGCGGGGGACCACTGTATTTAGTCACTTAGTATTTAGTCACTTAGTACTTAGTCACTTAGTATTTAGTCACTTAGTACTTAGTCACTTAGTATTTAGTCAACTTACTCCACAATTTGTAATAGTTTAGAGTTAAGAATTAATCTAAGTTTGCCCGAAATGCCTAGCCTTGCTAGGTGTTCTAGTGGCCCCCTTTGTAATTAGTATTTTATTACATGTAAACCACACAATAACCAAAATCTGTAAACCCCGCATTGTAATCCTTATAGAGAATAAACTTTGATTTGATTTGATTCTCTCATGTCTAGGCGATTCAGGCTTATCATGGCAATGTTGAATGTATGACAAAAAAACGTACATATACGTTTGGGGCACTAGGGGTAAAAACGTATATATACGTTTGGACCGTTTATGGGTTAAGACAGTCATGAAAAAAAGACACAAGTTGTAGAGCAAGTTTTTATTTTCTTGGTCTTTATAATTGTCAAACATGTCATTTCAATCTGAAAAAATCATATCAGGAGTCTTTGGAAAATAGTTTTGTGCGCTACTTCAGTAAGAGACTTGGATCCTTTCCTTGACTCCTCTCGTTTATCTGTTTTAGTATTTATTGTAAATAAGGGAATGAGTAGGGCTTGAACCCATGGCAAGTGAGTTCTAAAACACACTGTGTTAACCTCTCTGACTGGCTAACACACTGGCCTGTTTGTTTAAGGACTCGCATGGCATGAGCTCGAGCCTCACCCATTCCATGATTTGTTTGCATTTGTGTTCTAATTATTATAATTATGATTATTAGTGTTATTCATTTTTCCCTGGACAGGCTGTGTTGTTGATCAGAGGTGGGAGAAGAGAGTTCCAAGGTCTTCTTGTCATATCAAATAAAAAATTATACATTTTGGAAATCATCGCTCAAGAGGAGTAAGTATGATTTTTTTTTTATTAAGGTGGAGTGACCTAGAGAAGGAAACATACACCATCATTCACTCAGTAGCCATCTTGTCAGAAGTGCACAGGCATCACATTTCAAATGACCCTCTGAAATGCAACATCCTCACCCCTCCTTCAGAGTGCATTCACTTTACATCCCACCTCCCTCTTCAGGGATATTGCCTTGCTTGTGTAGCACTGATGAATGCCGGATGTTTAACCCTTAAACGGTCCAAACGTATTTTTTTTTTTTTTTTTCAACAAGTCGGTCGTCTCCCACCGAGGCAGGGTGACCCAACAAAAGAAAGAAAATCCCCAAAAAGAAAATACTTTCATCATCATTCAACACTTTCACCACACTCACACATTATCACTGCTTTTGCAGAGGTGCTCAGAATATAACAGTTTAGAAGCATATACGTATAGAGATACACAACATATCCCTCCAAACGTATATATACGTTTTTTCAACATCTGAAAGTATGTAAAAGAATGTAGATCCTCTTTTTTGTTTTACATTTGAAAACATGTAAAAAAAACTTTTATCTACATTTTTTTTGTTATATTTGAAAATATGTAAAAAAAAGTAGATCTACTTTTTTAGCTACGAATTTGAACGTCGATCTGTTTGGACCGTTTAAGGGTTAAGCATTATTTCTCGCAGCCTTGTATGCACTATCCTTCCAGCCCGTCCTGGGATGTCCCCCGCACCTTCCATTCGCCCAGATTTACATACACAATACTGTGCTCAATCCTTCTAAACGATCAAAACATCTCGGCAGCTTTCATATTATTGCATCATCTAATTTCCTAACCCCCTTAATCTCTGTACAAAATTTATTCTACACATTGATCTCCAGTGTGGTATCTCCATCAAGCATACTTCTTGCTGCAACAGTCACAGCTCATCCCTCGCACCCATATAAACAGTGTTGGCATGACTTGACTAGGAGACATTTTAATTTTTGGTTCATTGCAGTGACTTCTAACACTCTTCTTTTTCCTTGTATCTTCAAGGATTCGCTTTATATTATTTTTTTATTAACACATCAGCCGCTTCCCACCAAGGCAGGGTGGCCCGAAAAAGAAAAACTTTCATCATCATTCACTCCATCACTGTCTTGCCAGAGGTGCGCTGACACTACAGTTATAAAACTGCAACATTAGTTTGCAAGTTTATTTTTTATATTTTGTAATGAAGTAAACTGGGATATTAGACCAAGAATACCATAATGCATCCAACCATATCTAATGATAGAAAAGTTATTAGTGGTCATATCTACTTGCATGTGTAAAGTTAGGAAACAAAACTCGAGTGCTTTCATGTGCGTACACACATCTTCAGAGGAATATTTATGAGGCTTATTAAGAGACTGGGCTGTGATGACTTAATTTTCGTATTTTTTTTATATTTTAGCGACAATCCTCAAACCTGGCTGGAGTTACATTCTTCATACAATTTGCCAGATGTGGCTACAATCTATAGCCTTTACCAACGACAAGGCTTGGCGCTCTCTGTATCAGAAACTGTCTTGTTGATATCACTGGCTGATTCTCATCGGGCAAACTGCTTCTTCAATTTTTTTAGTGGTACGTTATGAAATCTTTAGTGGTAATTATAGAAAAATATGCAGTCAGGACCTTCAGTTAGACTAGTTTTTAAATTGCAAATCATGCCAATAAAATTAGTCACTATTATTATTTATTAATTATTTATCCTTCCCTCTGCTGCAGCAATAATTCATTTATTTTAAAAATACTGTATATCTTCTTGGGACATGGCCAACATGTTGAAAAAAAAAAAATCTTTGGGTGCCTTTTAATCTTCACTCTATGTGGCTTGATTTAATTTTTCTTTAACATGTCGGCCATTTTCCACTAAGGCAGGGTGACCCAAAAAGAAAAAATCCCAAAATGAAAAGAAAAAGACTTTAATCATCATTTAGGTTGGTAGACAGCAACCTCCCGGGGAGGTACTACCGTCTTGCCAAGTGAGTATAAAACGGAAGCCTGTAATTGTTTTACATAATGGTAGGATTGCTGGTGTCTTTTTTCTGCCATAAACATGCAAAGATTTCAGGTATGTCTTTCTACTTCTACTTACACTCAGGTCACACTACATGTGCATGTACATACACATTTTTGTATACACTCATCCTAGTTTTCTTTGATTTTATCTTAATATGTCTTGTTCTTACTTTTCCTTTCATATCCATGGGGAAGTGGAATAAGAATCTTTCCTCCATAAGCCATGCGTGTTGTAAAAGTCAACTAAAATCCTGGGAGCAACGGGCTAGTAACCCCTTTTCCCGTATAGCTTACTAAAAAGAACAAGATTTAAATTTATCTCTTCTAAGTGTTTTAAACATTTTGATTTTCTAATCAACTCATGAACCACTATTATTATTAGTAGTAATGTGCAGCCTCTCCTCGCTTAACGACAAGTTCCGTTCCTAAGATCTCGTCGGTAAACGAATTCGTCATTAAGTGAGGAGCATACTATAATGGTAGTGGGTTTGTATCACCCATCCTTGATATTGTTTTAACCCTTTCAAGGTTGGTGCAGTACTAGTACGCATAAATTCTAGCACCTTCAAATCTGGCGAGAGAAAGCTGGTAGGCCTACATATAAAAGAATAGGTCTATGTGGTCAGTGTGCACAGTATAAAAAAAATCCTGCAGCACACAGTGCATAAGTGCATAATGAGAAAAAAAAAACTCCGACCATGTTTTTGGTTTAAAACAGCGACTTTGCAGTGTATTTTCGTATGCTATTTATGGTTGTATTCTAGTTTTCCTGGTCTCATTTTATAGAATGGAAGACATAGTACGGAAACTGAGATGATTTTGATTGGTTTCACAATGAAAAGTACCTTGAAATTGAGATCAAAGTAGCAGAAATGTTCGATTTTTACCAAAGTTCGAAAGTAAACAAATCATGCTAAGCGTCCAATACACGTCAACTGGTGAGTCTAATATTCTTTCACAGGTGAACTGATAATATTTATACCATTTCTACACTAATGCAGTAGTCTGCAAAACAGTAAATCTTCTATTTTTTGCGAGAATAAAAATTCAAAGTGGAAAGCAAAAGAAATGTAACAGAGGCCTGGGGACGTAACTAATGAACAGAGGAAATGTTATTTTAGTGCCAGGAATGTCTGTCTTGTTTATTCTGGACCCTATTTGGAAATTGGCATCTTTTGAAATTTGTGTGAAATTGGCAAAATTGCCAATTTCTGACCACTTTATTGGATAGTTGAAATCGGTAAATGGGTGGTTTCTTGTACTCATTCAATAGAAAAAATGGAGTTCTAGCAAAATAGTTGTGATTTTTGTCGACTGGTACATTGGAATTGGCCGAAAATAGTGCTCAAAGTGGGCGAAATCGCTGATGCGTAGACATTGTCGAGACCACTAACTTCGCGAGAGCATAATTCCGTAAGTTTTCCATCAATTTCATACTTTTGGTGTCATTACGATCGGGAAAAGATTCTCTGTCATTCCATAAGGAATTTTTTTTTTTTTTGGGGGGGGTGGGAATTTCCAACCCTTAGAACAAGTTTAGGAGAGGGCCTGCCGACCCTGAAAGGGTTAATGTCATCTTTGCACTATTTATAACATTTCTAGTATATTTTTAAACATTTATACAGTAGCGTACTGTATATTGTAATAAAAAGAATAGAGGAAATCAGCTCTAATATACATTATTTAGGTATGCAAACTGGTTAGAGAGCCCGTCGTAAGTCCGAGTCGTCGGTAAACAAGTTTGTTGCTAAGTGAGGAGAGGCTACATTTATCTGTATGGAGAAGAATCTTTCCTCCATAAGTCATGTGTGACTCACGAAATCGTAATGACACGATTGCAAACAAACCATACCACAGGCAGGGATTGAATTCGCCACGAGTTCAGTTCCCACCCATAATATGGTAAGTCATGCATGTCATAAGAGGTGACTAGTAACCCCTTCGCCTATATAAATTACTAAACTTAAAGAGGAAAACTTTGGTTTTTCTATTTAGTTCACCCTGTCTCAGTGGGATACAGCAGGTTTCTTAAAAAATATATATTCTTGAGGAAGTGTTAAAACCATAGGGGTCAGACAGCATCTGGGAAATAAGTGGTAATCAGGTTTGATTCAAGGTAGAGTAGAGTAGCTTTAGTTCCTTGGATTAAGAACCCTTCACCATAACCCTTGAAGAGTTATGATTTAATGTTGTAGTCTCTGATCTCACATTATTGTTTCTGTGACTTTATAAACCAATTATATTGAGTTTATTTGATAATGACTTGGAAGTACAGGCACATATCCCTTTATCTGAAACCCTTGAGGCCTGTATTGTTTCAAATTTCAGACTTTTTGAATTTCAGAATGATTCTCAATGCTGTCACGTGGCGGCATGACCCAGCATGGAGATGACTGACGATCTACACTCCACGAAAAAACTTTACTTTTCAGAACTTTTCGAATTTCAGAATTTCGGATAAAAGGATGTGGACCTATACTGTATTTCTGAACCTTTTAAAAGTGGTTAAAGAGAAAGAACTAGAGGAGACAGTAGAAGAGTGTCAGTAGAGAAAGTATAGGTAATGAGAAGATTGATGAGATACAGCATAGTTTTTAAGAATGCAGAGCTGGAGAACATAGCTTAAGTTTGTTATACAATTGTAGGTGCAGTTGGGAAGAAGGATTGGAATGATGAGGTCAAGAGAGTAACAAAAAATTTATGCAGTGGTGGGAGAGGGCCGGCGTATTAAAAAATCTTTCATATTTTTTTTTGGCACACAGAAGTGTTGGATGAGTGTGGCATTGCTCCAGGCATAGAGGAGTGCACACCTTGTCAAGAGGAAGCCCTAACCCAGAATATCCATGAAGCAATAAAATCTTCAGGGAAGGCATCCGTACCTTCCATATTTGCTATTGTCTCCTTACTCCTTGGTATGTACAGTATATTGTTTATTGTGTAATATACATATAATATAATACATATAATACATATAATATAATTTGGGGTGCCAGGGGTAAATGTAAATGGGGAGCCTTTAATTGAGCTATGTGTAGAAAGAAATTTGGTAATAAGTAATACATATTTTATGAAAAAGAGGATAAATAAATATACAAGGTATGATGTAGCACGTAATGAAAGTAGTTTATTAGATTATGTATTGGTGGATAAAAGGTTGATGGGTAGGCTCCAGGATGTACATGTTTATAGAGGGGCAACTGATATATCGGATCATTATTTAGTTGTAGCTACAGTTAGAGTAAGAGGTAGATGGGAAAGAGGGAAGGTGGCAACAACAAGTAAGAGGGAAGTGAAAGTGTATAAACTAAGGGAGGAGGAAGTTCGGGTGAGATATAAGCGACTATTGGCAGAAAGGTGGGCTAGTGCAAGATGAGTAGTGGGGGGTTGAAGAGGGTTGGAATAGTTTTAAAAATGCAGTATTAGAATGTGGGGCAGAAGTTTGTGGTTATAGGAGGGTGGGGGCAGGAGGAAAGAGGAGTGATTGGTGGAATGATGAAGTAAAGGGTGTGAAAAAAGAGAAAAAGGTAGCTTATGAGAGGTTTTTACAAGCAGAAGTGTTATAAGAAGAGCAGAGTATATGGAGAGTAAAAGAAGGTAAAGAGAGTGGTGAGAGAGTGCAAAAGGAGAGCAGATGAAAGAGGGGGGAGAGGCACTGTCAAGAAATTTTAATGAAAAAAGAAAAAATTTTGGAGTGAGTTAAACAAGTTAAGAAAGCCAGGGAAAATATGGATTTGTCATTTAAAAAAACAGATTAGGGGAGTTAGTAGAATGGGGAGATGGAGGTATTGGGTAGATGGCGAGAAATATTTTGAGGAATTTTTAAATGTTAAGGAAGAAACAGAGGCAGTAATTTCATGCACTGGTCAGGGAGGTATACCATCTTTTAGGAGTGAAGAAGAGCAAAAATGTAAGTGTGGGGGAGGTACGTGAGGCATTACTAAAAGAAAAGGGGGTAAGCAGCTGGAACTGATTGGTACATGGACAGAAATGTTAAAAGCAGGGGGGATATAGTGTTGGAAAGTGGTTTGGTACTTTTGTTTAATAAATGTATGGGAAAGAGGGGAAGGTACCTAGGGGTTGGCAGAGAGCATGTATATCCCTTTATATAAAGGGAAAGGGGACAAAAGAGACTGTAAAAATTATAGAGAATTTAAACTTACTGAGTATACCAGAAAAGTGTACGGTAGGGTTATAATTGAAAGAATTAGAGGTAAGACAGAATGTAGGATTGCGGATTTAGCAAGGAGGTTTTTAGAGTGGTAGGGGATGTGTAGATCAGGGTTTACATTGAAGCATATATGTGAACAGTATTTAGATAAAGATAGGGAAGTTTTTATTGCATTTATGGATTTAGAAAAGGCATATGATAGAGTGGAAGAGGAGCAATGTGGCAGATGTTGCAAGTATATGGAATAGGTGGTAAGTTATTAAAAGCTGTAAAGAGTTTTTATGAGGAAAGTGAGGCTCAGGTTAGGGTGTGTAGAAGAGAGGGAGACTACTTCCCGGTAAAAGTAGGTCTTAGACAGGGATGTGTATGTCACCATGGTTGTTTTAATATATTTATAGATGGGGTTGTAAAGGAAGTAAATGCTAGGGTGTTTGGGAGAGGGGGGGATTAAATTATGGGGAATCAAATTCAAAATGGGAATTGACACAGTTTACTTTTTGCTGTGATAAATGTGCTTATGGGAGATTCTAAAGAAAAAAATTGCAAAGGTTAGTGGATGAGTTTGGAATGTGTGTAAAGGTAGAAAGTTGAAAGTGAACATAGAAAAGAGTAAGGTGATGAGGGTGTCAAATGATTAGATAAAGAAAAATTGGATAACAAATTGGGGAGAGGAGTATGGAAGAAGTGAATGTTTTCAGATACTTGGGAGTTGACGTGTCGGCGGATGGATTTATGAAGGATGAGGTTAATCATAGAATTGATGAGGGAAAAAAAAGGGGAGTGGTGCGTTGAGGTATATGTGGAGTCAAAAAACGTTATCTATGGAGGCAAAGAAGGGAATGTATGAAAGTATAGTAGTACCAACACTCTTATATGGGTGTGGGAAGCTTGGGTGGTAAATGCAGCAGCGAGGAGACGGTTGGAGGCAGCGGAGATGTCCTGTTTAAGGGCAATGTGTGGTGTAAATATTATGCAGAAAATTCGAGTGTGGAAATTAGGAGAAGGTGTGGAGTTAATAAAAGTATTAGTCAGAGGGCAAAGAGGGGTTGTTGAGGTGGTTTGGTCATTTAGAGAGAATGGATCACAGTAGAATGACATGGAAAGCATATAAATCTATAGGGAAGGAAGGCGGGGTAGGGGTCGTCCTCGAAAGGGTTGGAGAGAGGGGGTAAAGGAGGTTTTGTGGGTAAGGGGCTTGGACTTCCAGCAAGCGTGCGTGAGCGTGTTAGATAGGAGTGAATGGAGACGAATGGTACTTGGGACCTGACGATCTGTTGGAGTGTGAGCAGGGTAATATTTAGTGAAGGGATTCAGGGAAACCGGTTATTTTCATATAGTCGGACTTGAGTCCTGGAAATGGGAAGTACAATGCCTGCACTTTAAAGGAGGGGTTTGGGATATTGGCAGTTTGGAGGGATATGTTGTGTATCTTTATATGTTTATGCTTCTAGACTGTTGTATTCTGAGCACCTCTGCAAAAACAGTGATAATGTGCGAGTGTGGTGAAAGTGTTGAATGATGATGAAAGTATTTTCTTTTTGGGGATTTTCTTTCTTTTTTGGGTCACCCTGCCTCGGTGGGAGACGGCCGACTTGTTGAAAAAAAAAAAAAAAAAAAAAACATATAATAAGCCATCTGTTACAGTAGGTCCCCTGATATGTGATGACAATTCTGAGGCGAGTTACAGGCAGTCTGTCGCTAAGCAAATTAGTTCCTGCCTCCTTGTTTTCTAAGCGACTTTGATAAATGAACAGATGTTCGCAACTTGCCGTGTAATTCGTAATCAGGCATTTTAGCAAACTACCTTTATAAGCCAAGTCATTTCCTGCTTCATAATTGTATTGTATACACATATTGTAATTCAGTATGCAGATTAACCACTGTGTGAGCAAGAATTTGGTGATTTCTCACATCAAGGACCTGTTCCTTGATAATGTGAGAAATCACAAAAGTGCTTGGTAATTCACTATTTTTTCTGCATTAGTTATTTTAAATACACTGTGATACCACCTGTTGACTGTGATCTATCACAGTGTATAGGGATAAACCTTGCAGTGTGTATATACTGTACAGTGTATGTACATCAGCCCTGAACTTGTCACTACCACCACCATTGACCTGGTTGCTCCTGGTTTAAATATGACCAACCTGTACCTCCAGTGTTCTGTAACCTACTGATCATCCCTCCCCCCTTCCGCCGCCCAATACCCTCGCTTCCTTCCCTACCCTGCAGCGCTGTATAACCCTTGTGGCTTAGCGCTTCTTTTTGATTATAACAATAATAATAATGTACCTCCAGTGGATGTTAAAAAAAAAGGAGCAGAGACTGGAGGCAGATGATAGAGGTGGTAGAGTTTACATAATACTGATGTGGTAGAAATAGGCGGAGGTTGTGCAGCTATGAACTATGCAATATTTTACAATTAAACATTTCTTTTTGTTTTTATACATCAGTTGTTTCCCACCAAGATCAATAGAAAAATAATTCACCATCACTCATTTAATAGTTGTCAAATGTTTCAGGTCTTATTTAGTTTTTTGAAAGTAATAATAATTGCTATTACACTTCATTTTTTTAAAAATTGGCATAAAAATTCCATTTTTTATGCATTATTTTTGCATCTTGTATATACTTATTTACATGTTTTATAGTAATAAATAACCAATATTGGTGATATCAGACTATATTTTTTAATTATCTTCTCAGATGGAGGATGTAGCGAGAGTCAGTTTTTGGCTATTAATGAGACTGACCTTGTGTTTTTTTTCATGCTGACCTTAAATGGTACCTTCCCCCTAAGCCAGAGCCAAGACTGAACCTGAACCTTTCACAGAAAATATCTGACATTACAGCAATAGTAAGTCTAATAACCTGACCCCCATACAATGTATGTGGCCCCCCTGGTTTACATTTTATTTCATTCCGAATATGTTCAGGTGCCATACTGACCGAATTTTTCCCATAAGGAATTTTGTGAATAATTAGCCCATTTCAGCCCCAAACATACACGACAAACGCACTTCATAAATACACTTACAAAATTTGGTCGCTTTGGGGAGTGATCGAAAAACCGGGGCCCAATGTATTGGTTCTAAAAAAGTCTTGGGGAAGCAGCACCACTCTATGGCCGGGTCGTGTTTTTTTTTAAATACTGTGATTACAAATTTTGAAATTAAACAAAAAAAACATTTACCCATCCTGGCCTTATCATATCGCTGCTTAATAAGTTTTGCAGTTGTTGTACGTGACTGCTGATTTTTAAATTTCCCATTCCAGTTTTTTTCCTAAAAAAATTGTGTTTTTCAAAGGGGCTACTTAAATATCTATTTTCGTACATATATTACTTGATTTTTGGTTTTTAACGGGGTGCATAAACAAGTCTTCAAGACATTAACTTTTAAAGTTTTCCATATCTTAGGCCGAACTTGAATCCTGGAGGGGGCAGGTTTTTACAATGCCTGCACTTTAAGGGGGGGTTTGGGATAGGGCTTTTTGGAGGACATCTAAACTGTCATATCGAGTGCCTCTGCAAAGTTTGATTAGATGAAATGATGGTGAAATTTTTCTTTATTTTTGGGTCAACCTCCTCTTGAAAACAGCTGGCATGTAAAAAAAAGGTGTTTTTTGGCCCGCGGGAGGTGACAGCGAGAGCCACATTGTTCTCCAGTTTAGGATAAGTACAGAGAAGAGACCTGGGATCTTCCTTTCTTCTTCTGTGGCCGCTTCCCACATTTTTCAACCCAAAAGAACCCTTTTGGAATAAAATCTTCAGTGTTGATCTTCGGGTAACTCAAGAGTCCAAAATCACTCCATAAGATACAGTAGTTTTATTATATCTTCTAAAAAAATTTTGAATAGTGATTTGAGACTTTTTTTGAGGTTTTTTATGGTTTTATTGGTGTTATTTGGAAAATATTTGATAAAACACATACTACTGAAATACAATATTTTTTTTATTTCAAAACCAGAAGTACTTAAAATTTGGGTTCAGAGTAAAAAAAAATATTAGATTTTTCCCTAATTTTCTGAGAATGGGTAAGTCTCCATATTCCCCCTCTGATGAATTTTTAATAGATCCATTTCATTTTTGGGGATGCCCAAATTATTATTTCAATCAAAACTAAAAGCCCAACCCTGGGATGTGTAAACCATGACAAATCATCCTATTTAAGCAATGTGGGGGAATACCATACAAAAAAATTAGGAGCATAAAATTAGGTGATGTGGGGGGGGACCAAGGGTTGATTCAGTGGGCTGAGGATTCCTAGGGCAATTTGGACAGTAAGGAAAAGGTAAAAGAGGGTGAATAAAAAGGGGGTGGAAGGGGAAAAGGTTTGTCTCAGGAAAGGGTTTTAAGTGGGGGTACAGGGGGCTTGAGATTTTGGGGGTTGAGTATCCAGCGGCTTTTTTGAAGTATTAGAAAAGGGGGTGAAGGGATGAGTGGATTTTTAAAGGGTGTTTGGGGGGGCAGAATAACTTTCCCTGAAAGGGGTTCAGGAAAACAGGTTAGTGAACTTTGGGCCCGGAGGGGGAAAGGGAGGACATGCACTACTATGCAGGGGAGATGGGGGGCGCGTCAAAGGGTAATTTGTTTTTTGTCACACACTTCTGGAAAGATGGCCATTGAGTTTGATTATTGGTGAATGGGTTTTCTTTGGGGTCACCCTGCCTTGGCAGGGAAAAAAGCCATTTGTTAATTATTTTTTACTGCATTAATAAAAAAACAGTATACTATAGATTTTTTACATACAGTATACTGTATTACATGTAAACCTACCATGAGATTGTGCATTTTTCATATATTTATTATTGCTGCTTGTGAATATATGCATCTTAAGTCCATATTATTTTTAAGCTTTTTAATATTGTATTTTATTACAAATGTGATAATTATTGAAGAATAAGTCACTATATTTTGTTACATTTCTGTATTGACCTCGGCAAAATTTATTAATAAACATCTTGTATTGGACACAGTACATTTTGTAACTGTCCGGTAATATATTCCTGCCTTGAGGCAGAGTGTGGAGTTAAAACCATTGAAACTGGTGATGGGCTTTTGGTGTACCAGTACAGTACTTAATTCCCATTGTAATACTGTATGCATTAGCTTATGCCACATCTGTTGCAGCTAATTTTTTCCTTAGACATAATTATAATCTAGGCGGGCCCTGCTTACACAGCAGGTTAGGTTCCGGGCTACCACTGTCAAGCGAATCGTAGCTTATTTTTACTTTCAAATGCATATAAAAGCCTGATAATATATTTACACTATCATATATTAAGTTAGCAATAGAGCTAGGCCTACAAAATGCATATACAGTACACAAATTACTTATAATATTTTCATCCAAAGCTTATAGTGAGTGGTGAATATATTTTTTTGTAGCAAGTCTGAATCAAAGAAGAATGAATGTAATTGAAAGCCACTGCAGTGCGGGGCCTGCCTGTAAATAAACCTTTAAGTTGTACAGTTTATGGTATTGTGTCAGTTTTCATAATGTAATTTTCTTAAAACATTTCTGAATGGAAATTTCTGGTCAGCTACCTCTCTTACAAGTAAATTTATACCTCTCTGTGGATATAGTGTATTTAAAATGTCTACTTAAGTATCAGACACCCTGAACAGTTGCATTTCAATGCATTAAAGTTAATCTTCAATGTGTATAGAATTAGTAATGTGAAGCACACAACAGAGAGAGACTATTAGACGAGATTTTGCCATAGATAGGGCTTTTATTGTTGATTTGGTTTAGACTAAACCATCTGATAAAATAAAAGAATGATTACGTAATGTGAATTTTATAGATCTAGCTTAAAGCTAGTTGCCATTCACTACACTACATTGAAACGTGACAATAAATGCAGTCACTGTCTAGCACTCAATATTTTTATTGTTCAATACATAACTTGACGACGCTTGTAAACACGTAGCTGAAACCCACATTACGAGCAGACAAAATAGAAAATTGTGTATTTTGCTCTGTACAGTTTTGTCACTCATTATGTGGCTTTTCTGAGTGACTTATTCAGTAATGTATTTCTTTGTCTTGTATTATCGGCCCTCAAAAAGTCACAGTTGATTTCATATACACTAGTATAAGAATTTCTGGAAGTTTATTAACAATATGAAATGAAAGTATATACTTTTTTAAATAAAACAACCATGACTGGGCTTCAGATATTGATAGAACGTGTTGTGTTATGGTGCTAATGTTTTGCTATTCTAGAGTGTAATGCATGTTTGTACTGTGTATGAGATTTTGATATTGATCTTAGATTTGTTTTACAGTATCTTAATATTTTGATCACTGCCATATTTTGTATGATTGCAGTCCTTATTAAAGTCATTTATTATAAATAATAGAAGTATTTATTTCCAAAAATTCAGTAATAGTTGAAAAATGGTACGATGATACTAACAAGATGAGGAAAAAAGACACTTGTGTACAGTTGAGGACATTTATTAGAAGCCGTTAGTGGCAAAAAAGTTCCTCAAATAAATCCCCTGAACTGTACATAAGTTGTTCTATATTGGATACACTTGCACGGAAGTATGTGTTCTAATCAATTCATTGGTTTATCACTTAATTTTGATTACAATAATCATTTCATACTTGTTCTTCACCTTGTTTCCCACTCCTGTGTTGGTGGCGGGAGTCCACCAAAAATGGGTGCATAAGTACTCCTAAAAAACAAAATGAGTAAAATTTACTCAAGAAATTTCTATACAACCCTCAGCAAATGCCTGTGCCAAATCAGCCAGACTGTGATGGCTATGTGGACAAACTAGTTGCTAACAGCAGCAGCCTAGTTGACCAGGCAACCAAGAAAGCCTGACTTCAAGTCAGGTTATAAGCTAAATTTTTTTTTTTTTTTTTTTTTTTTTTTTTTTTCTCAACAAGTCGGCCGTCTCCCACCGAGGCAGGGTGACCCAAAAAAGAAAGAAAACAATTTTCTTCTTATTATTCTTTTTAGTAATCTTTACAGGAAAAGGGGTTACTAGCCCATTGTTCCCGGCATTTTAGTTGACTTTTACAACACGCATGGCTTACGGAGGAAAGATTCTTATTCCACTTCCCCATGGATATAAAAGGAAAAGTAATAAGACCAAGAACTATTAAGATAAAATCAAAGAAAACTCAGATGAGTGTGTATAAATAAACGTGTACATGTATGTGTAGTGTGACCTAAGTGTAAGTAGAAGTAGCAAGACATACCTGTAATCTTGCATATTTATGAGACAGACAAAAGACACCAGCAATCCTACCATCATGTAAGACAATTACAGGCTTTCGTTTTACACTCGCTTGGCAGGACGGTAGTACCTCCCTGGGTGGTTGCTGTCTACCAACCTACTACCTACATAAGCTAAATAAGCCCTTGAAATTCATCACAAGTCTCATGGGAACAAGTACCATGACACCTAACCAAAGCAGCCAGATCATATTTTAAGTGGAGCAGCAGAATGGATGAGTTGACCTGAATAAGAGTTTTGAGATTGACAAAAATACCTTGTTGACCACCACAAAACAATTCCCCCATTAGTCTCAGAAAAGTATACACAGGCTAACGGTAAACCTTAACTCTAATTTGATCCAAAAATTGTGACACTTTTGGAAGTCGGTAAATATCTGAACCCTGGAGAAGAGTACAGTTAGAAAGCATAACTGTTTTGCAATTAGCAAAGAGGATTAAGTCACCTTGTGAGTGATCCATACAAGTTTGTGTAACCCTAATGTTAATCGAGTGCAACGTACTACTGCGGAAATATAAACCAAGTAACTTACAAAATTTTAAAAGAACTAACAATGTATTTAGCCCTAAATACATTGTTCGTTTACATACGTGAA